CTATTTTTTTTAATTTGGGTATTTTTGTCCCATCCATATTATGTTGCACATCTCTTGATGTCTTACAATCAACATCCAATAAATCCATATTATCCCAAATAATCCATAATAATCCACGACTGAGCATAAAATATGGTTAAAATATTTAAACATTGAAATTACGGGAAAATAAAAAGGTCTTGAGCTGGCACCGAAAAGCATATAATGTTGGTGCCAGGTGGACCTTTCTGGGGAGTGCATTCCATAGCCAGGGTGCTCACAGGCTCTCCTCTGAGTATATGCTCTCCTAACCTCCTTCAAGGAGGATTCCCAGAGCAGGGCTTCAGCTGCAGATCTTAAGGGCCAGGTGGACATGTAGGGAAAAAGATGTTGCTTTAGGTATTCTGGTCCCAAGCCATTTAGTGCTTTATAAGTCAATACCAGCACCTTAAATTGGGCCCGGGCTCCAATGGGAAGCCACTGAAGCTGATAGAGGACTGGTGTTATATGAGAATAACGACCAGCCCCCGACAGCAATCTGACGGCTCTGTTCTGAACCAGTTGAAGTATCTGGACTGTCTTTAAGGGCAGCCCCACATAGAGCACATTACAATAGTCCAACCGGGAGGTTACCAGAGCGTGTGCCACCATTGCTAGGCAGTGCTCATCCAGGTAAGGACACAGCTGATGGATCAGCTGAAGCTGAAGGAAAGCACTCCTCACCACCTGGGCTTCCAAGGACAACTCCAGGTCGAGGAGCACTCAAGGTTCTATTTATTGAGATGCAGGGCTGATACTGTCATAAAACTGTTGGGAGAGGTTATCCAAAACTCTGGGCTGAAGTGTATTAAGTATATGTGTTGACTGTTTCTCTTGTTCCCAGTGTCTAATCAAAAGGAGGGAATAGAGTTTCCAAACTATTGTCTGTCATTAGTTGAGGGGTGAGTGGGGATGGACAAGTTGAAACTTAAGGAGATACGTTTACTGTTTATCATGAGTTCTATGACCTAGGAAAGCTTATATGGCCTATTTGAGACAAGACTGCACTCTTTTGAACACACTGGGACCTGCAGCCTAGATGTGCTCCTTAATCTCATGCTACCCTGGATCTTCAGATAATGAAGGTGGCAAGGAGTATCATGTACCACTTTCAGCTTTTTCACCAGCTGTAACCTTTTAATGAAAAAGATAAATTTGACCTCCATTATCCATGTCCTAGTTATTTCCAGGCTGGACTATTGCAATATTGTCTTTGTGGGGCTTTTTTAAAGGAAAATCTGTAACCTGAAGTTGATAAAAAATGCAATGGCCAGGTTCCTGTCTATATCCCGAACATAAGGGCATCTGTTTTATTTCTTTTATACTGGCTGCCTGTTTATTTTCTTGCCCAATTTAAAGTCTTGGTTCTAGTCTTTAGAGCTTCTGAATAGCTTTGGACTATGTTACCTCAGGAACTGTATGTTGTTCTTCGTGGTCTCTGTGGATCACACATATGAGTGCTGTACTTGTGCAGTGCTATGTTCAGGAAGATTCTCCTAGCTAAGCCTAAAACTTTTGGTGGGATCCCTACCCCGCTCCCAGTATAAAAAGATCAGACTCCCAACATTTCTTTTGACTGCTGTTTGTATTGAATGATTCCTAACTTCATTCTCCAATACTTACCTCCAATACTTACTTACCTCCAATAACTTACCTCAGATCTTTCCCAGACTTTTCTCTCAACTTAAAACTTTTCTTTTTCCCTCAAATCTCTTCAAATCTCTTCTTATTTTTCCACCTTTATACTTATCTTTCCATTTCCCTCTCCAAAAAAACCAACCCCACCCCCATCACCCTTAGCTAAGGAATCTTCTCCTTTTCCCTTCTCCTTTCTGAAAGTGTGTCAGGTTTGGTATAAAAATGTCATCCACAAGTAGACATGTACTGTGTTTGTTTCACCTCAGTGAGGAGCTCTGTGTTGACTTGTGTCCACATTGTCAGGCCTTTACGAAGCAAGCCACAAAAAAATAGGGCTGGCCACCAATTTGCCTTTTCCATCAGCAGCCCTGGCTACCACTTCTGTTCTGGCTGTACAGTCAATTCATGCTTCTCTGGACATTTTGGGCATTCCAACACTGGCCTGGCCAGAGCCTGTGGAAACACAATCTGATCCGATCCAATCACACCAACCTCCTTCTCTGAAGTAGAGATTCAAGACTCATCATCCCGATCTCCAGTGGCTTGGATTGCTTCTCCTGTCCTGTTGGTGAATACACCACATTGGAACCTAGAAGCACAGATAGTGCCTCCAACACCTTGCCCATGCTACCAGTTCATCTTGTCCAACCTGTTGCCAGTCTCAATCCACCATCCAGTTGACTGTTTCAAGCCAACTGCATCCACCTACAACTAAGATGCATATTGGGGTCCACCAGTGACATTAACTGAGCACTACTACGCAGGCTATATGTGGGAGCATCTATGGGATAGCACTATTTCCCTGCTATCTGTGGCCACCAACTGGAACCCCGCCTCAGAAACCCTGGGACCCAGCACAGTCCAGTCAGCAGACAGTTCTGGAACCAACTCCAGCTGGATGCCAACACTACTGCATACTCTCCATGGAGCCAATGTCATCTCAGAGACCCTCATAATCTGCCAACTCAACTTCTTCCAACTGAGCGGACTCTGCCTCTGATTTGGACACACATCCAGCTTCTGAGGAATCAGTCTCCACTTCTCCAGAGACTTGGGTTGGTTCTCAGGACAGGACCTTTGGGTGGCTATATCTTTTGGCCTCCAGACCAAGCAACTGACCAAACTGACTCTGAACCCAGTGTTCGATGTTGTCCAAATGGAGGACTCTGTTCCAGCAGCTATACCATTTTTACCTCAGACCATGAGGGATCCCTGACAGCTACCGACATAACCCCATCCAACCTCACGAAGGCTGGAAGACATGTACAGGGTACAGGAGACAGATACACCCTTCCTCCTTCATCATCCTCACCCATAGAGTCCACTCAAGGGTTCCCTCAGAGAGAAGACTCTGCTCTGACTGAAGACTTATCGACTGGACATGATGGTGAGACTCTGCTGTGGGCCTCAGCCTCCCCATCTCAAATAATGAAGCTGCAATGGGGAGATAATAGGTCTTTCTTTGGCAGAAGATGGGAGCTCTGGCAGACTTTCTCCCTGAGCAGCAGCAGGAGCTCGCAAGTGTATTCATGTCTGAGGCCATGCAACTGTTAAACCAGCAAATAGTATGCCAGCATGCCTGGTTGCGTGCTGCTGATCTACTGCAGGAGACATATTCTCACATCAAGAAGGACTCTTCCATACCAGAATGGATGAGCAGGCTAGACACCATCCAGGAACCTAGGACAATGGCCAGACAGTTGGGATTCAGCCCCTTCCAACCTGTGAGAGCACGTAAGTGGCCATAGGATTGACCCACTTAAATCAATACCAGCCCTGCCATAACAGGGCACCATTCAGTTTCCCAGACACCACAACACCTGCTATCCATGGCACAACTACGCTGCTGAGATGCAACCAGCTTCTAACAACCCTGTAAAAGAAAGCTAGATGCTGAAAGAAAGCAGTGCAGACAGGTAGCACAGGCTAGTCCCCCATTCTCTTCACCAACTCTGTTTGGTGACTGCCTAAAGGTCTGTCTTCCCAACTGGGAAACCATCCCATTAGATTTGTGGGTACTATCCATAATACAGCATGCATAGCAGTTCAAATTTGAGACCTTAACATCTCTTGGAACAGTCTGCCCAACTCCTTTACTAGCAAAGGGAGTGGTCCATCCAGTTGACCAACCTGATGTATGCTATGAATTCTATTTGAGATACTTTACCGTTCTGAAAAAGGATGGTGGTCTCCATCCGATATTAGACCTTTGGGGAGTCAGCTACTTTATTGCAAACAGAAAATTCTGAATTGTCTTCCTACAAACTATCTTGCCACGATTATGGCAAGGGGATTGGTTCACATCAGTAGATTTAAAGGATGCATATTTTCATATTGCTGTCTTCCCAGTTTATTGCTATATCTTGAGATTTCTTTTGGCCATGCAGTGTTGTCTTCCATTATTTAATAACACCTCCCACCACCATATCCAGTAAGTTTGCTAGTCATCCATATGTGTGATGCACAGAGACCGTGAGGGAGAAAGTAAGTTTGCTCCCTGTAACTGTCGTTCTTTGAATGGTCATCTGTGCATTCACACAACCCACTTGCCAGCCCCATGTCAATGTTGGTGGTTACTTTGTAATTCATTTCTTAATGATAATGGGTAGGCAACCCCCCCCAAAAAAAAAAACCAAAACAAAACATCAGTCTCCATGTGAACTGAGGGAAATGGCTGGAACCTGCCCTTTTTATACCAGGATGGGATGGGGCTCCCACTAGGCAAATCTTCATGAACACAGGCACTGCACAGATGCAGTATTCATATGTATGAATGCACAGATGATCACTTGAAGAATGACAGTTACAGGTAAGCAACCTTACTTTCTTGAATAACAAGCCTGCCAGTCAGTTAAGCCCAGTCCACCTATACAATCAGATGAGTGCATATGCTAGACAGGGCCTTTTCAGTTGTGGCACTGAAATTGTGGAAAGAAGATTTGCAAAATTCTTTCTGTTTTAGTTTTAGAGATCTGTTAAGACTTTTTTTTTTCCAATGTGCTTTTGGTAAATGGCTTTTGTCTGCTAATCTTCATTCTGCCTTTGATTTGGCTGCTTTTAAAGGAAACGTATTACTGTTTGAGTGTATAAGAGCTGAGCAGGCTGTCAAGGACACAACATCCTGGAGGGCATTCATATGCAGGGCCACCATAAGTCAGAAATGACTTGTGCACATACAACAGCAACTTCATAGTGTTACAATTATTATTGGTTTTTACTGTTTGCCCATTTTACTATTTTTGTTTTGTGTGATAACTTTATAAGCCACATGTGTGTATGTAAATGAAAGTCAGGTAAAAATAAATAAAAATGATTGTGATTTTGTTTATTTCATTGTTTGCAAGGAGGAGGCCATAAAGGATTCATCAGGTCAGGAGGATGAGACACAGTCCTCCAATGATGATCCAGCACCATCTGTTGTACAGGAGATAATTCGTCCACGGCGCTGTAAATACTTTGATACAAGTATGTGTTTCCAAGTACTAAGCACTGTCAACTAAGCATGTTTTTGAACACCTTTTGTACTTTGATATGCTATAAATGCTTGATTCACAGTTGGACTATACCTTTTTTAAGACAAACCAAATTTTCATGAAAATGTGCAAGCTTTTGATTCTCCAGAAGTCTTCCTCAGACTAGATGGTAAAAAAGAAGGCTGGGAAAGAAACAGGAAAGTCCAAACAATTGGCAAAATGTTGGAATGAAGAGCACTTGAACAGTCTTCTGCTTCACTTCCTCTTTTACCACTTTGGGTGTCAAGGGAGATACAAAGTTCTGGCATTTGCACTCCTGGTGGCATTAACCATTGTTATATGATGCTGTTGTAGTGGGTCTTTTATGTTGTCTCTCCATCTTCTGGGTCTGCCTCATGCTCTTTGGCCTTCTCTTTTTGTGTATGCCTTGAGTGGTATGGAATCCCAAGACATTCTTCCAGGTGAGCAAACCACTTTATTTGCTGTCTTTGTATGTAGTTAAGGATTCTTTTCCTTATAATCTCATCCCTGATTTTATCCCTTATGGTCACTCCAGCAGCTTTCCTTAAACATCTCATTTCTGTGGTGACTATTTTTTGTTCATGTTTTATTGTAAGTGTCCATGATTGACACTGGTAGCATAGGATGGAGATGAATATGCTTTGTATGAGATGCTTCTTTGTACTGATTGGTACTGCCTTATTTTGAAGGAGTGGAACTATCTGTCCTAATACTTGGTTTGCCTTACTGCATTATATGTTAATCTCCTTGTCCAGTTTACCATCTTCAGTGAATGTTGTTCCTAGATATTTGAGTTCAGTCACTTGTTTTATACTTGTTCCCTCTATTACTTTATTTAAGGTATGCTTTTTTCTTCCCATTGCCATTACTTCAGTCTTCTCTTTACTGATTCTTATATTACTTACCTTGAATTCTTGGTTCATGGACATAAGTTATTGCTGCAGCTCCTTCGCTGTACTTGTGATCAGTGCCTGACCATCTGCAAAGAGTAGTTCATTGATGTTATTTCCATTCTTGGGCTTAGCTTCTTTACTTATGTTGTCTGTATAGGTGATAAATAAAAGTGGTGATAGTACACATCCTTGTTTTACTCTACATGTTATTGCAAAGAGTTCTGATATTCCTTGATTTGTTCTAACTATACTTCTGCAATTGCTATATACACTTTTGCATAATCTAATAAGATGTTCACTTACTCTGTATTGGGTCATTGCTTGCCATAGCAATTTCCTATCAATTCTATCAGATGCTTTCTCTTGGTCTGCAAACATGACAAAGAGATTCTTATTACATTCCATATTATTTTCTATTGGTCATTTAAGTGTAAAAATTGCAACTGTGCAGCTTCTATTTCTTCAAAAACCCATCTGTTCTTCTGCATGTTGTGGTTCTATGACTGGTCTCAACCTCATTTCTATTATCCTGCAGTACATTTTCCCTACATGACTCGGGAGTGAGATGCCTCATTATTATATGCATTCTTGTTTGCTCCCTTTCTTTTTCCACAGTGGTATTATTATTGCTTATTGCCAAACAGTAGGTGTAGTTAGTTGTGTTCATTCTGCATTAAAGATTCTATGTAGCCATGTGATTCTGCTTTTCCCTGCTGCTTGAATTGTTTCTGTTGGTAACCTATCTATTCCTGGTGCTTTAAAAATTGAAGCAGATCCTGAAATAGCATTGTTGCTAATATTTTGTGAAAAGAAATTAAAATGGGATATCAAAAATTAATAATAAATTTAGTATTTGCAGCAAAATTGTTAATAGCAAAGAATTGGAAGGGAAAATGGGATCTCTTGATATTCCTGACTTGAATAATATCTTCTTGAAATTGCCGAGTTTGGGTGGTAGCATGTCATCTTAATTTTTGTGAAACTTAACAACTTTAACATGCAGCTCAGCTACAGAAAGAATGAACATTGTGCTTAAAGTCAATAACTCATTATACTTAGGTCACTTTTCCTAATTTAACCTCCTTGAAATTTCAAGAGCCCCACAGAGTATCAGTGGTTTTTAAAATTAATTAATTTATTTTAAAGATACAAATACAACTACAAAATTCATATAATAAAGAAAAAACACTCAGTACAAAAAATAAAATATAAAAAAACAGAAATCACCCTTAGTGCACCCCTCCCCTGGGACCATGGCTGCCTAGTATTTTTTTTCTTCATTAATCCATTCAAGATACCCCTTCCATCCAAAATTACAGTACATCCTTTGAGGGTTTATTACCCTCCCATGTTGTTAATACATATTCAATAAACATACCACATATATTATTAAAATCATTTTCACCCTTATCTCATTAATCACTTGTCATTTATCTCTATATTCCAAAATTCTTTATACCATTTGATTAATTGATCCCATTTTTCCTTTCAATTCTTTGCTATTATCAATTTTGCTGTGGATACCAAATTTATTATTAATTATTTGATATTCCATTTCCATTACTTTTCACAAAATATTAACAACAATGCTATTTCATGATCTGCTTCAATTTTTAAATTCAACATCTTCCTAACCTCCTTAAAAATCATTATCCAGAATTTCTTAATATTTTCAGTCTCTCCACATATGAAAATAGCTACCCATATTTTTTCTATATCTCCAACATAAATTAGAATATTTATTATCTGCATAGAATAATTTAATCAGCATCACATACCGTTTCCATACTAATTTATAAAAAATTTCCTTAATTCTAATTGACATTTTTAATATTCTCTTATTCCATATTTTCCCCAATCCTTCCCTAAATCCATTTCCCATGAAATTTTTAAAAGATCATATATACATGCTCCCTGTCTAATAAAATATTATATCTCTCTCTTATTGTCACCCTTGTTTGCATTCCTCCTTCATCACAATCTCCTCAAATTTGGTAAGATCTCTACAATTACCATTTTTCTGCAACCATTTTCTAGTCCATTGTTCCAATTGCATCACATTAAACCAAGTTTATTTTCCTTTTCCAAATAATGTCATTATCCTTTCCTTATTTTCTATCCAGTCTTTTTCCCTAAATATTTGTTTTTCTTTTAATACCTTTCTTAAACTATCCCTCAAATTTTCTGGAAATCCTCTAATCTCTGTAATAAGAGTTATTGGTGAGATGATTGGCATAATTTTTCCCTATATGTCTCCCAAATTCCTATCAATTTTTTTTGAAAAAATGATTTTCTGTCCTTTTTACAATCTTATCTTATTTAAAAAGAATGTTTAAAAAAGATCCTTCAGTTTCTTATTGTTTCATCTCTACCCATATTATTTAATCTGGCTGCAAAATAATATTTGGTGTACATCTTAATTGATTTGCTTCATAATATAGTTTAATATTCAGAATACCTCATCTTCCCTCTTTTTGTGATTCGTACCATCTTTTCTTACTAGTCCTTGCATTCGTATCTCCATTACAGAATTTAATAATCACATTTTGCCAGTCTTCCAGTTCTTTCCTGAATTGACAACATCCTAAATAAAAAAATATTCTTAAATAAAATTTTCATTTTACAAACCACTGTTTTCTGAAATCATGATAATCCTATTTTCCTAAATTGCTGCAATTTCTTATTTATTTCAGATTTTAATGTATCAAAATTACTCTTTTTCAAAAATTCTGCATTTTTAAATATTAATACTTAAATATTTAATAGTATCACATATTCTAATCTGAAATTGATTCTTAATTTCCTCCTTTTCTTCTCTATTACAATGAAATGGCAACATCTTTGATTTTCCCAGATTACCTGCAACACTGTTATGTCACCAAATTCCATTGAATGAGTTTTAATCTGATCCATAACTTTGAATGGATCTTCAATTGTTAACAAGGTTTCATCAGCAAATAGTTTAATCTTGATTTTGTTTTTAATTCCAATATCTTCTATTGTATCATCATTTCATATACTATTTGCCAATAATTTTATAACTAAAACAATGTCAGTGAAAGAGGACATTTCTCTCTAGTGCCTCACCCTAAGGATATTCTTTCTGTTAAACCATCATTAACTATCACTGTTGTAAAATTTTCTGCATAATTGATTTATTACTCTTTCGAATAGTAGACCAAATCCTAATGCCACTATCAACATCTTTATCATTGGCCATTTCACACAATCAATTCTATAAAAATAATGATACCAAGCCCACTTTCAACCTTTTCTTTGATATATATTCTATTGCGTTTAATACTCTAGTCAAAATCTACATCCTTCTCCTTACTATAAAACCAGCCTGATCCACCTTAATGTATTTATCAGTAAAATAATTCTTTCTGTTTGCAAGTGTTTAGTTTTAGCTGCAAATACAGCAGGGCAAGGACTTTGGGTGTTCTTAGGCTGAGGTTAAAACAAAGGGTACAAGAGTTGGTTCCTAGGATAATCTGGGCTCTTTCCTTTGGACCCCTTGGGTTTTGATTGAGTCCAGGCTAGTTGATTTAGCATTACAAAAGTCCTAATTACTAGAGAGAATTAGGCAGAGGTTCCTAAAACAAAGGATACTGAGGAGTGTACTGGTGATCTAATTTATCTTGAGGTAAGGACAGTTCAGAATTGGACCATGATTCTTCCCAAGGCTTTTAGAGTGATGAATAAAAGCATTCTCATATATTACTTGATTAGAATGATAACTTGGTGAACAAGAAGGTCTTTCTTTAAAGATCACAATCATCAGCTGTTTGTCTGCTAGAAACAAAGGCTTAAGTTGAATGTGATGCAGAAGTACCCAAAAGCTGATTTAAATCCCTTTCAAAATTAAATGTCATTTCAAGATGCTGCAGGCCCTAGCTAAATGTTTTCTTGTACGTATAAACTCTTCAGCAAGTTTATATAATTAAAATGGTATTTGTGCTGTTTTTAAAAGTGGAACTCTTGTTGCAGTTCTCAGTATTGCAATTTAGTAAGGGTATTTCTGCCACAATTGGTCACATAGAGTTGGTTATGACATCATAGCTCACTACTCAATTAACCAACCAGAGATGGCTCTCTTTCTAGGTTGTACTATATTTGGAGGAATGCAGTTCAGGGTACCTGTCTGTGTTTCTTAATTTTCTTATATAGATAGTGAAATAGAAGAGGAATCTGAAGAAGACGAAGATTATATTCCTTCAGAAGACTGGAAAAAGGTAAATGGTTGAAGCATATAAACATACATTTCCAGTCTGCAAATGACTTTGTATATATTAGTCAAAGAATATTTTCAAGAAAGCATTCCTGAACAGTGTGGGTGTTCAAAGGGTTTTTCTGATTAGTCACTGTGTGAACAGAATGCTGGACTAGATGGACCTTTGTTCTAATCCTATATGGTTCTTCCTCTGTTCTTATGAGACCTAAACATTAATAAAAGCAAATTCTCAGGATTCTACTACATTGAAGCTGATGGGGAAAAAGTTCTAGTAATAATAATGTGTAGGATTCCTCCCCAGTAGATTGATTGGTTCCTTCTAGTAGTTATGCTGAAGATCTCATTAGTTTACTGTTTGCTGTGTATCTAAAATAGTTGGTGATGTCTACAGTTCTGTGTCGTGAAATTTTCCCAGTGTTAAAGCTTGACAGTAAGTCATTGCTTCTTAGCTATCAAACAACATTTTTTAGTAATTGGATACATTCACAACAACTGTGGTCACATTTGTGAACTATGGCTAAGCCAAAATTCTGGAAAATGTATTGTTTATGAACTGCAGATACAAGCACACTGCCCAATTTGTCTTCCTGGTTCCTCCCAGCAGTGGGAGTAGTTTAACAAACCAAGACTTCACCAGGAAGCAAAACTTAGCATTAAATCCTAATTAGGATTCCTGGTTTACTGCTCCACTAACAAGTCAGGATCTGAAGTTAGCATTTATAGTCCCATTCCAGGCATCTTTATGAGCTACAATCCAAGAGTAGGGCTTCAGACATATTACTAACCTTTTGCTTGCTTGTGAATTCAGTTTGTTAAATGCTCCTGGGATTCTTACTTAAGCCCACATAGTTGTTTTACTGCATAGATTATACCAACAAATACCACAATATGCTCTCTTCTGTTCTTTTTAAATGTGGTTATTCCTACTTTTATTGAATTTGGGGGTTTATATTAATAGAATTCAGATTATAATCAATTCTATTCAGTAATCTAATTAAAAATATGTTAAAACAAATAAATTGCATTTCAGTAACATCCAATAGATGAAGCTCTTTGGGAAGTTTACAACAATTTCATTTTCATTAATATTTACATTTTATTCTATTTCATATTTACAATGTATACATATTTTTCAAAACAGGAAATCATGGTTGGCTCCATGTTTCAAGCTGAAATTCCAGTTGGTATTTCTAAATACAAAGAAAATGAGAAAGGTAATTGCTATTAATACTGTGATAATTTTATCTAATTTGAACTATCAGGCATATTTGAGGTACATTTGGGAAGCAGTTAACCTCTACGGTTCAATTTACATAAGGTTTCATGCAGCAAAATACAGCAGTTCACAGAACATTGGAATATTTATCACATGAATTTCACAGGTAAATATAGTGGTTTAACTATGCAAATATGTTCAAGCATTATGGCCAGTTCATATTAGAACTCAATAATAGAGATTTTCTGTTGCTTAATGGAAAACTATTGTTTAGGAAATTGTATTTATATTGGTATCAGTGATGAACATTTATTTTGTTGCGCACAGGTTCTCATTAGTGCAGAGTGATAGAACATAGCTGCTTTTTACTAGGAACAAAACTTTCTACTGTGTTGCTCTCAGCCCAGTGTTCAAATTTATCAAGATCACCCTGGATCTTCATTCTGTCTTCTAGGGTCTTTGCTATTCCACCCAGTTTTGTATCATTTGCAAATTTGATTTTCTTTCCTTGTACTTCCTTATCTAAATCATTAATAAAGATGTTGAAGAACACTGGACCCAGGACTGAACCCTGTGGCACCCCACTAGTGACCTCCATCGACTTTGAGAAGGTGCCATTGATGAGCACTCTTTTTGTCCGATCTAGCAGCAATTTTGTATCCATCTAATAGTTTTTCCATCTAGTCTGCTTATCAGATTATGTCGAGTTTTCCCTTTGTCCATTTGGGAGGTTACCCAGTCAAAAAATGAGATTAAAGTACAGGATTTATTTTTGATAAATCAATGCTGGCTTCTGTTGTATATAAATATTTCATTTGCTGAAATTTTGTTTTTGTGGTGATGGAGATTTTCACAAATTCTAAGGAGAACTTGTTAGCGATTTCGCTGCAAATTTCTGTCTTTTGGAATCTTGGTACAGTCCACATTACAGAATGGAGCCAAAACTTAGTTGATTCTGTTTGGTTCCATTACCTTCCCAGCTTGATTTGTTACTCAGCTGGGTAATTAATATCTTCATCCTGGATCCATATTGTTTGTGGGTAGCTTTGAATACAAAATGGATTAATTGGAGCTCAGGTGTGATTTACCCATACTCTACTGATGTGTGTATTTGCTCTTCTATTAGCAAACTGATTTCTATGGAGTTGATACTTCTAGGCATGCTTGAATTAATTATGAATCCAAGCTAGATCCCAGGCTTGTATTCATAAAAAACGCTATCTTCACTTTATCATTATGCTGCTAAGTGTGAGATATACTTCAAAACATTTTTTTTATTAGCCTTCTACAGATCATGGTGGAGGAACTCATTTTATCAGTGTGGGCTGTTTTTCAAACTTTGAAATTCAACACTTAAGTATTTGTCAGTGACTTTGGCCTGAGAGAGAGAGAGATTCCCTTTCTTGTCTGTCAGCTACATGTAAAGTGTCTTTAAAAAACCTAGAAAACAAAAGGCATATTTTACTTGTGCCATTCAGTCATATTTATCAAAATCATCAGTTCTTCCTCATATATAGATTAGAAAATAGTTGCTAAACTTATACATTTCTATGTAAAATTATCACATTTGATAAAGCAATGTGTGAAGATATGTTTAGAATTATAGTTTATATTTACCTGGAAGTTTTAGTGAAATAATGTGAACATACACACACACATACACCGCCCCCACAATAGATAGGATGAGGTTGGTGTCTAAATTTTTCAGAATCTCTCTTTGCTAGAGAAATGTTTTAAGAAAGGAATATTGATTATTTTGGTTCAGGGACATTTCAGTTTGGCTATATGGTGAAAGGAAAACAGTTATTTCTTCAGATAATTTTAAGCTTAAGTGTTAGGTAATGTACAATTCATTTTCTAATTTTAGTGTATGAAAATGATGACCAACTGTTGTGGAATCCAGATTACCTGACTGAAGATAAAGTTATTGAATTCCTTAGTGAAGCTTCCAGACGAACAGGAGATGAGAGAGGAATAGATGCAATTCCTGAAGGATCACATATCAAAGACAATGAACAGGTATAATCAAACTCTTGGAGTTCTTAGTGACCATAAAATACCTTGTTTTTTACACTCTCTCAGCTTAGTTGAATTGCATAGATACCTTTAGTTATAGATTGTTACGCTCCCTAAAATCTGTTGAGGGGACCTTCCAGAGGAGTTTAAGGAGTTAGCAGTGGCACCTGCAGGGTATTTTGGGAATGTTCTTAACAGTTGAAATAAAGCATTGGATTCAACACATAATGTTTTGACAATCCTAAGGCTGCTAGATGTCATTTAGAAGAAAAATACAGAGCCAAATTTTAAGTGCCCTTGTACGCAGCACATTTCTTTTCATGCTGACTGCAGCTCCCAAGTGGTAAGTGTGACTTTGGAGCTGGTACAGGGCTGCGGGGAGGGGGAGGATTTCTGTGTCTGCCAAGGGAATTTGATGGTGCCTCAGCCCTCCTTCTCACAAGTAGGGCTAAAACACTAGATACCTGGAATTGGCCATTAAAGTGTTTTGTTGCATGAGGAAAGTGTGGAGGTGATCTTTGTCTCCATATTCTTCTCACTCGAAGCCTGTGAGTTCAGAAGGTTGTGTGCAGCCATGTTAGTGCCCTTAATATTAGGTTTGTGTGCGTGTGTGCGCTTCACTCTGCTATACCGTTTTGAAGCAACAGTTCAGAAGTTTGAGAAGATCCTACTCTAAATTTCTTTCATTCTAGGCTTTGTATGAATTGGTAAAGTGTCATTTTGACACAGAAGAGGCACTAAGAAGATTGCGATTTAATGTAAAAGCAGCCCGAGGTGTGTATATTTCATATTTTTAAATGTATTAAATATATTTAATACTACTGACAAGTATGAGTTTCAGTAGTATGCAAGCCATTTTTACATTAAGAACAAATTATCTGTTTTCATCTAATTTTGATGGGTCTTAAATCACCTGAATTTAATATTTGAAAGTCCCTTCATTTTCATACTTGCAAATTCTATAGGAGACACATTGGGTTAATGATTGCTTTTTCTGCTGCCCAATAGCAGAAGCTCCCTAGTAGCTATATTTGTTTTGGTATTCTCCTAAACTGGAAATACAGCAAAAAAAGAGAAAAACCCATCTCAGAATAGCAACTTAAGTGCAGTGTACCTTAAGCATACCCATGCAAACAAACATTTGATGCCCAGTTTCTCTGATCCTACTTTTCCTCCCATTTGAAGTAGAGATGGATAGGAGAACAACATGGACTGAACTCAAAAAGATCACATGGCTTATCTAGATCAAATATGATAGGGAAGGGGGAGAAGGCCTATCTGCACAGCCTAGAATAAAGGTAGGCAACCTGGTTCCCTCGAGATGTTTTGTGCTAAGGTCCCACAATCCCTGACCATAGGCCATTCTGGATAAATTTGTGGTTGAAAACATCTGGAGGGCACCATGTTATTTGCTTCTGGTGTACACATTTCTAAAGGGTCTTAGGATGCAATCCTAGCAATGCGGAAAATTGTAGGACTGTTTTCTGTCTAAGACATACATAGGATGTGTTGAGACTTCAGTTGTATTACTTGCATAGATACACGAACATTAAATTTAAAATTTCATTTTGATGAAAAAAAGAAAATAGTAACTACTGCTAGGTAGCATTTGAAGGTTCCTGATAGTAAATGGATTTTAGATAGTTTTTCATGGTCCCTGTGCATTATACATGAGCTCTGTGCCTGGGTAGAGGCTGTTGTCAGGAACATTTCGTAGCTGAGAGCATTTTGGCATGAACATCTCCTCTGGTTTGGCATTTGGTGTGTATATATAGGAACAGGAGTTCCCACCTGTTCCCCCAGTTCTTCTTTGACTGCATTCTCTGGTCCTTTGGGAAGTTCATTCTCTTACTTCATGAGCATTTTTCTTTACTGTTTTCTGAAACTGTACACTCGCTTTGCCTTTGACTTTATGTTCTACTATCTGTTTACCATAATTTCCACAAAAAATAATGATCAAAATTTTCTCATCTTTCTTTTGAACTTTCTCCATACCTGCCATTTCTCCCACTTTTTGAAAACATTATTCCTCTTACCTTTCTGATGGCATCTAAAACACCTTTTTGGAAATGTGTAAGGCATGTCAGCAGGCTCCTGCTGGACTGACAGCCATTCCCTTTGCTTGTCCTGCCTTGGTGAGGGGCGTATTTTTAGTCAGTGCCCTCTCTTTGAGGTCTTCATGGAGCAGGCCAGAAACCATAGGGTGGACTTCCTTTGGGTAGAGCTCTGGAACAAAGCACCCCAGGCAGTAAATGGCAACAACCACTGGAGCTAAGCTGCCCTTACACTTCTAAGGTTCCATCCTCACTTCAATCTATGCCTCCTGTGGCTACTGCTCTAACCATGGACCAAGTCCATGCTGCTGATACTGGGGAGATCTTTGAAGACCTCAAGGCAAAGAAGATGGTTAAAAAGCCAAGGAAGCAAATTTGGCAGAGTTGTTCTTTGTGGTCTCTGTGCACCACACATACAGGCTTCTGTACCTGCACAAAGCCTAGACCAGGAAAAAAAAGTTCGACAGTTTAGTGTGCCAGAGCGGGTGGGAGCCCCTGCCCTTCTGGTATCCATGTTTATAAGGGGAGGAACTCCTGCCCAGTATCTCAGTTCCTTTTCAACCATCATTGCGTCCATTGGGAATCCTTCACTCTCACTCAGCTTTTGCGAAGTACACTATTTTCTTCACTGCCTTCTACTTTTCACTACCTTCCCCCAGTATCTCTCTCTCAACTAAGTCCATTTTTCATTCTTATCCTAAAAAAAAAAGCCTTTATCTTTTTTTTTTTCTTACCCAATTTTCCTATCACCTGCCCTTCCTCTCTCTCTCTGCCAGTTCCCATCTTTGTAATGGCATCTGCAGCTTTTTGCAACTGTGCATCCTGCAAGACTAGGCTGCCAGCCACAAATGGTCACTCCTTGTGCCTCCTCTGTCTTGGTGAGGAGCACGAAGATGCGGAAAAGGTCCTTCAGAAATGCTCTAGCGAGCTTTGTCTGGAAGACTTTAAACTGATCCCTGGGGGGAGGGGGGTCAGGCCCTCCAGAAACTTGTCCACACTGGACAAGAGTGGGGAGAGGATCAGGGCTCTGGGACCAGGGTGTTAGAGGTAGTGCATGGGCTGACAGGACTCCTACGAGGAGAGGGCCAGTATCAGGGAAGATGGGAGGAAGCAGGAGGCTGAGGATTCCAAAGAAAGGAAGCTGTGGGAAGGAGTTGAGGTGCATGTACACCAATACTAGGAGCATGGAGAATAAGCAGGAAGAGCTTGAGGCTCTTCTGGGTAAAGGAGGGTATGACCTGGTGGGGATCACAGAAACTTGGTGAAATGAAAGGCAACACTGGAATATAAACATAAAGGGGTATTACCTGTTTAGAAAGGACAGGAAGAGAAAGAGGGGTGGGGGTGTAGCTTTATATGTCAGGGAAGGGGTAGGATGCAGTGAGATAGAATGCACCACAGATGGGAATCTGGTAGAGGCAGTCTGGGTGAAACTAAGGGGTTTTGACAGGGAGAAGGACCTGACAGTGGGGTTATGTTATCGCCCTCCAGGCCAACTTGAGACCCTGGATGATGTCCTGATAAATCAGATTCTAAGGATATCTTGGGGGAGGGACACAGTATTACTTGGGAGACACATTCAGTGGTGACAGCCAGGTCACGCCGCTTCCTAGACACTAGAGAGGGAGGGTTTTTCATGCAAAGGGTCCTAGAGGCAATGAAGGGGAAGACCATTCTTGACTTTGTTTTGACCAACAGGGAGGAGCTGATAGATGAGGTACAGATTAGGGAAGCTCTGGATGCAAGTGATCACTCCATCCTTTGCTTTGTGAACAGGGGACTGGGGATGTGCAGCAGGTCGAGCACTAGAAGCTGGGACTTCAAGAGGGCCAACTTTGGCCAACCGAAGACCAGACTGGGGAAAGTCTCCTTGGATAGGTTACTGCAAGGCAAAGGAGTTGAGGAGGAGTGGATGGCACTCAAAAGGGAGGTTTTGGAGGTGCAAGCCTTGATGATACCTCTAGTTAGTAAGGCGGGGAGGCGAAGGAGAGTGCCGCCATGGATGCGAAAGGAAGTGGTTAGAGGGATTAGACGAAAGAGGAACCTCTGTAGGAAATGAGTACTGGGGCATATAGACAACAAAAGGGTACAGTGGGGGGAGGAGGCCCGTTGCAGAAGGATTCTTCGCAAGGCTAAGGCTGATTGCGAGCTGAGACTTGTAAAGCATAGCAAGAGCAACAAAAAGGGCTTCTATCCACATGTAAATAGCAAGAGGAAAGGGAGACAGGTAGTGGGACTGCTTATTAAGGAGGAAGGGGATCTAGTGACTGATGCGAGGGAACAGGCAGAGATGCTAAATGACTTATTTTGCCTCTGTGTTCTCCCCAAAGCAGGACAGGGGAGATCCACTTGGGAGATTAGATTAGATTAGATTAGATTAGATTAGATTAGATTAGATTAGAGTCACCCGCTTAGAGGTCGAGGGGCTCCTCAGGGCACTGGCCATAAGAAAGGCGCTGGGCCCTGATGGGTTACTCCCGAGAGTACTTCGAGAGTTGGCAGGGGTTCTCTCATGCCCTCTGGCCTCCATTTTTGAGGCCATGTGGAGAAAGGGTGAAGTTCCAGAGGACTGGAGGGTGGCGTTAGTGGTCCCAATTTTCAAAAAGGGTAGTAGAAGGGAAATGGGGCATTACAAACCAGTTAACCTAATGTCCATTGTAGGGAAAACAATGGAAAGGCTTATAATAGCAAGAGATTTAGCGATGCAAGATAGGGAAGGGAGGCTGACAGCCACACAACACGGCTTCCGCAATAGCAGGTCCTGCCAGACAAACCTTATGGAATTCTATGACAAGGTTTCAAGGTGACAGAAGGGATGCAGTGGATGTGGTTTACCTGGATTTCAGCAAGACCTTTGACAAAGTGCTGCATGATATCCTGGTTGAGAAACTGAGGAGTTTTGGGACAGGCCAATGCACTGTCCAATGGATTAGGGCACGGTTGACTGACCGAGAGCAGAAGGTAACCATTAGTGGGGAATCATTGGGATGGAGGCCAGTGACAAGCGGGGTCCCCCCTTCCATCCCAGGTACCTGCAACCTTCTCCAACCTAGCCCACTCCAGAGCATGACTGCCCTCCGAGTACTTCAGGATCACCTTTGTAGACTGTGCTGTTTTTCTATGTGATATTGGACTGTACATTTCAGCTGGCATCAACCTCAGACTAGCACCAACACACTGATCCTGGTATTCTCTCTATCTATGCCTATTGCCTACATCCTGGACACTTGGTGTTGTAAAGGGTACGGTTTCATTTCCAGCCTGAATTGCATAGGGTTGACTTCCTACTTCCAAAGGGTGCAGTAGAGCAGGTCTTTTCTTTCCATTAAGGATTCTAATCTAGATATTTTGCAGTATGGAAGCAGGATGGAGGACTGCAACCAACCCTGGATCTGAGAGACATCAGTTCCTTCATCATACTATTTTGCTTGGTCACCTTAGGTCTGGTGTACAGAGACCACCAAGAAGAAAGGCAGTTGCTTGCTTATAACTGTCATTCTTTGAGTGGTCATTTGTTCATCTGCACAACCCACCTGTCCCCTCTTCTGTGTCATATTCTAAACTTTCCTTCCTGTTTCAAGATCAGGTCCAACTAAGGTCAAGGTCAGTCAAAATGATCCTCCCTTGGTCCTGAGGCCACAAAGGCTGTCTCAGGTGAACTGAGGGAACAGGCAATGACTCTTGCAGTGAAAAAATACAGTTGCTGCGTGAATGTCATCTATTATGTGCCCAAGTTGTCTCTTGCTGTGAAACATCTCTTGTGTAGCACTTGTGCAGTACAGTTAATGCAATTTATTATACAGTACATACTTATGTATTAATTGTTTTCATGTTTTAATTAATTTTTGGCATGTAATTGTGTTGTTTTACCTTAAATTATGCATATTTGATGTTTATCGAAATTGGTACTGTTCAGGGTCTGGGAACTGTCATTTTCCATCATTTCTAATGGGAAAAGTTGGTTCGGGAGTTCAAACAGCCTCCTGAAACAAATTAAATTTGAGGAATGAGGCACCACTGTACTTTAAAACATGCTTTAGAGACTCTGTCTAGATTAGTGGGTGGCATACAAGTTCAAAAATAACTAAAATATTAGAGTACTAGATAAAGTATCATCCTATTCTTTTGCTTTTTATGTATCATCCTGCACCCATTCTTTTTTATGCATGAATGGTGAAGAAGTCTGGGTAAAATATACATAGTTTCTCTTCAAATTTAATTTGGTTTCTTGTTAATATGCACATTATATTTCTTTTATTTAGAGGAGCTATCTGTCTGGACAGAGGAAGAATGTAGAAATTTTGAACAAGGGTTGAAAGCTTATGGAAAGGATTTTCATTTGATTCAAGCCAACAAGGTCAGTGAATTATGTAAAGATTAAAGCCAGAAGTGCAGAAAGATAGGTGCCTAACAACTAATACCCGGGTTATTTCAGGAGTGAAAAAACTGGTTTCTCCTTGTAACAGAAAGCTGCTGTGATGCAGAACTGGACTTGGAGATTGTGGTTCTAATCCCCAGCTGGCTATGAAGCTCATTTAGGTTTGGGACCAGTGATTGACTCTCAGCTTAATCTAGCTTGTAAGATTATTGTGAAGATAAAATGGAGGAGGATCATGTACACTGCCTTGGGCTCCTGTAAAAAGTAACATTAGCAGATATGTTCTGTTTTTTTTCTTGTGTAGCTGTCTAAGAACAGCTGTTAAACAAGGAATCATTATGTTTTAAGCTCTGTGCAGGTATTAACCACACAATGCTATAATAGAAAATAAAGTGAAAATGCCTACTGAGCCACATTTTTATTTATTTATACATGGATTTATAGGCCACCTATAATTGCCAAGTCCTTCCTAGGCGGCTTATTTTTGAGGGATAACTTCTATAGTAGGGAGTTCTTTCTGTTGGCATAGGCTTTGTTGCCAGGAACTGGTATTTTCCAGGGCATTTGAACAGCCTCCCAGGCACAATAGTTGCTTACATTCAGCTTTAAAATGCTATTTTAAGAGAAACTCATCAGCCATAATACAATTCATGAGCTCTAAAGCTGGCCACTACATCCCCCTACCCCTCCAATTATACCAAGCAAAAGTACTAGCTCAGCTACTGTATGGATCTCATTTGGGGCCTTTCCCGAATACCCAAGTACTACAACGTGTTCAATCAATATTTCTTACGGCAATACTGTGTGTTTCTAGGGATATCTCCAATGCAAAGATAAGATTAGAGACCGGTCAGCTCAAAATGGAAGCTAGGATCTGGGGGGCTATCCTTGTGCACTGGCTCAGATTGGTACACTTTCCAGTTGGCCTTGCTCCACTAATTCTGCAAGATGATTTCAAATCCAACTGGATCAAATTAATTGAGCAGAAAATAGCTCTCTTGGGCCTTCCCCTGTGGATTGTACTAAATAATGGGATTTGGACGTGCAATGGAAACCATCAAGCAGTGCATAGCAGACATTGAAAGACAAAGCAATCTCAACAGAGCCCTAGAATTCTATCTTAGCGAGGACTACAGACACATTGTAATAGCTGCACCCTATCTCAAACAATTGGAACTGCATAAACGCAAAAGGGCTTTTACCTTGGCCTGCCTTAACAGACTCCCCTGGACGGATGGTATAAAAAGATCCCCTGGTCAGAGCGCCTTTGCCCCTGTGCTATGGAACAGATAGAAACTGCAGAGCACGTCCTGTTGAGGTGCACATTCTATAGGGATATTTGTGCTGCACTCATTTCCCCACTAATGAATCGCTTCCAGGGCCGTACCGAACAACAACATATCTATATACTGCTGTCTGACACTAACCTAACAATAACATACAGTGTCGCTAAATTCTTTGTGACCACGATGGGTCACAAAGACAGCTCCTGAGGGAGTGTGGCCCTACCTAGTTGGACGAAAGGCAAAGTCTGGGAATGTCGTCTACTTAAGATGACTGAAATGAACTATGGTAGTAGTATATTGTGTCAAAGTAGTTATTAATCTGACTGGGGTTTCATGACAGATGGAGCTGGTCTTTGACTGTAATAAAGTATTTATCTATTTAGTAGAACATACTGTTTCGTTTTCTCTGTTTTTCAGCAAAAATTCATGATCTTCAAGATAACTGGGCAGTTTCCAAAGCAGCTCTTGCAGTAGCAGGAATGCTACTAGTATGAACTAGTATGACTATAATGCAATTATACTTTGCATTTCTGAATGGAGTGAGTCAGCAGAGCTCACAGAAGGCAGCTCCAATGATTTCTATTTGTTTATATTATGTTTGTATCCCACTTTTCTCCCATTGTGGAAGTCAAGGTGGTTGCTTGCAGTTCCCAGGTGGTCTGCTCTCCAAGCTCAGGCCAGTCCCAGACCTGTTTAGCTTCGACATGGTGGGTGCCTTCTGTACCTTCAGACCATGCTCTGGGGCCAAATTTTGTCCTAATCTAGAAGAACTAGTTTCAGCTAATTGCCAGGTTACTCTAAGAAGTGTTCATCTCTCATAACGATAGCAGCAATTCCCACTAGCACAGCCTAGCAGACTACCAGATTTGGATACTGCCCATTTTATGTTTATTGCCTCCAAACAGCAATGAAGTGCAGTCATTCACAGTCATGGAATTCTTTTTTTGCAGGTTTGATATGGTTTTGTACTGTTTTATGCCGAAGGGCTATGTAGAGGGCTATTTTCAATGACTGTTTCATATTCTAGCCCCATTACTTAAATAAGTGATTGTTTAGAAAGCAGAATATGTATTGGGATTACTCGTTTTCACAGGTACGAACAAGATCAGTTGGAGAATGTGTGGCATTTTATTACATGTGGAAAAAATCAGAACGATACGACTTCTTTGCTCAGCAGACACGATTTGGTAAAAAGAAGTACAACCTACATCCTGGTGTGACGTAAGCTGTTCTATTTTCATGCCATTTTTTATTGGATAGTACAAAAATCAGTGAAAATCTAGATGGTTTCCTGCTAAACAGAACTAGAAAATACATGTTTTCACTCTGCAGTTTGTTCCACTCTGCTGTACGAGTATATCCTTCTTACAGCTGCAGAAACTTTCACTTCTTTGTCCTATTAGTTACTTCTTTCTATTATTTTGAAGATTATATACATGACCTTTTCTCTGTTTTGACCCTTGCAACACTGTAAGTTAGGCTAGAGATGGCACCTTGCCCAAGGTGGCTGAAGGGGAATTTGAACCCAGGTTTCTCTGGTGTAAGTCCAGTGCTCTAAGCCCATGTTATCTTTTCTACCAAACTTGCATTGATTTGGGTCTTTTTACTGCTTTTTTGGTTATGGAGCCCATAAAGAAGTGAATGTATGCTATCTGGAAGTGATGTAGTACTCAGTGATGACATACCAAACTAAGGGAGTCAGAGAACCATGCAAAAGTGTATACAGTTAGTAGAAAACATACTCAAAAACATTTTAATCTTTTATTTTTATTAATTTTTCTTAAATTGCTATGAGCAAACACTAAGAAGCAACAAAGAAAACCAAAGCACAAAGTAAATGAAATAAAAGTAGCATGAAATAAGTAGCACAATAAAAAGCATGGAAAAATAAAAAGTGGTTTGCTTGGTTCTAGAAATAGAACAGTGTAAGATTCAGGCAAGACTTTCAGGATATTGTTAATAAAATATGTCCTGGTATTTAGTAGTATCATTATCGAATAAATATGGGTAAATATCAGGTTTTTTTACATAGTGTGATGTATGGCCCTTTGATCAGCAGATGTAATCTTAACATTTCATGTTAAATGTTTTTTTGTTGCTCAAAATGTGCCCTTTCCACCAAGGCATACCTTACAGGAATTATTCTGTAGAGCAGAGATAAGTAACCTGATGACATCCAACCATTTTGGACTGCAGTTCCCATAAGCCCTAGCCAGCATGACCAATGGGAGGACAGTATTGTAGTCTAAAACATCTGGGTGGTGCCATGTTGCCTACCCCTGTTCTAGAGTGCTAGAAAAAGTGCTAAAAAATCAAGATTGTAAATCATAGAAGTTTGTATTCTATATTCCAAGGAAAGTATCAGGGTCTTTGAAATCGGCTGTATCATTTTAAAATACAGTTTGATTACACGTGACTTAAAAAGTCCCCCTGGTGTTACAGAAGCATGCTTATCATTAATACATGAATCTACTTACGAGTGTATCCATTCTGAAGGCTAAATATTTTCTTTGTGTTCAGGGATTACATGGATCGTCTCTTAGATGAAAGTGAAAGTGCTGCCTCCAGCCGAGCACCCTCCCCTCCCCCTACAATGTCGAACAGCAGCACCAGCCATTCAGAAAGAGAGGACAGTGCAACCAGCAACAGTAATCAAAATGGTACGGAAAATGTTGATGTGTCTTGCGTGCAGGAATCCTCACCAGTTCTTTAAACTTAAAATTCTCTAAACTCAGCCAGTATTCAACAAAAGTTTGTACCATAGTCAATTCATTAATTTTTAAAGTGCTGTAAGATTTATTTCTTTGTAATTAAATATTTTAAAAATCTCCCTGCAGTGACTCATGGGACACTTACGGTGTGCGTACATTTATACAAAGCTGGTGGGAGTGACTTTAATTTTTAAACCACTTTTTCAAACCCAAAGGATTTGGTAGTTATGAAATATTGCATTAATCACTGAATAGGCCTTGAGCTAGATGCTTGCACACACATTCATATGGTCTAATGGTGGAAGTTCATTTGGGAAACCATATTGACCAAGATGCAATTTCATAGCCTATGCATTAAGACTTCTGTTATGCCTATCAGTGGTTTGAAGCTTATTCTAGTATCTTTCTTTAAGGATAACCCTTCTAGTTCACATTATTTTTCTGTTTTCCTCATAACGCAGGTTTATCCACTAATGGGCCAGGTGAATTATCAAGTAGAGAAGAAGCAAAAATTGAAGGGTTGCATCTAAATGGACCAACTGGCAAAAAAAATCCTCTTGTGGATTTAGATACTAATGGATATGAAACTGAAAACCTTTCCAATCATTCTAAATCTGTTCTTTCAAATGCAAGGAGTGAAAATGATTTTGAAGAAAAAAATGAAAGGCCTGTGAAAAGGAGACGAGTCAACAGTAATGAAAAGGAATGTCCAGGTTCCTCAGAGATTTTCCAGGAAGCAGTGGCCCTGGGAAAAATTGAAGGAAAGGAGAGTATGGATGACTGAATGTTTGGTTTTACTCCTTGAAATGATTTTTAGGGTGTCTGAAATTTTCAGGGTTGATAGGTTACCTTTACAAATTCAAATCCCTTAACATAACTTATTTAGATTTTCAAATACATTTTGGTTGCTTTGTAAATCTGACCAAAGTTATAATATAATTTTTTTAAAACCTGAAATGCAGATATGATAGATGGGAGAATGTTCTGTTGAACAGTGCTGCTTCCTGTTTAGCCAGTCAATAAAAACATGTTATACAGGCAGTTCTCTGCAAATTATTCCAGAGCACTGAACTACTGTACAAAATATACTGTGGAAAATAGCTTGTTCTAGTTCCTTAAGATGAGATACTAAAACATAAAGCAGAATTGACAAGAGAGAGATCTTTTAGTCCACTGGAAGCAAAGCAGTGTTGGACAATTAAAGAATGCCTGTAGAGCCTGAAAGTTGTATGTTAGAGAATATTTTTATATATATTTATAAATTATCTATCTATCTATATATAGAAATATTTTAAGATAAACCAAGTCAGGTTTGTACATGTAAAATTGTTGACATCAGTGATGTCTTTCTATATTATCTGGATATAAAAATACTTTCTGTATTTTTCCAGATTCTTTGTAGCCTTTGAAAGATTTTTACTTAAGTCATGATTGAACTGTCATTTCTAAAACCAGTATGTAATTTTCCTAATTTGTACAGCATAGTAAACTTTTGAGAGAGTTGATCTTCTAAGGAGTCTGTCAGCTTCATTTTATTTGGCTAAAGCTTTTTTTTATTAAAAAGGTCACTCAGAGAGCAGTACAAATTTTACATATTTAAATTTCACACCCTATTATGAATATCAGAATTTTCAACCTATGTTGGGACAAATGGTGACTTACTTTTTTTGTTTTTAGCAAGACACTATGATTGCACAACTGTTCCTACTTTTGTAATCATTTTTCAGAATTATTTTTATGAGGCAGAACCTGAACATCAGCTAAATGCTTTAAAATTACTAAGTATTTTTAGCTGAGGTCAGATATTACATTATTCATCCATTTACTTTTACATTTCAGTGAGCAAAGTAGAATTTGGAAGTAAGTCAAATAATTCTGGCTGCCTTGATGAGAAACAAATGCACAGCTCGTATTTGGGGCCTGATCTTGCATCCAAGAAAACCACTTGGATTCACGCTGCTGCTGCTTCTCAGGAAGCAGAAGAGATTTTGTGAAAAGCTATTATTACATATGTATGTTTATGTCTATGAATATGCACATGTATGAGGTACCGTAAGGGCTTTTTACTTTAACAAATACTTTGCTAGAAATAAACTTTTGACATTGTAGTGGAAACAGACCCAGTAACCTGGGTTCCTGTCTATGAAAGGATTTGGATTATGGCCATCATGAAGGTTTACAGTGTCAGTACCTTACTGCCATGTAATATAGAGAAGTAGGCTATCTGTACAGGAGATTTTACAGTCAACCTGTCCTGAGGCTTGCTTGAAAATTACCAGAAGTTGGGTTGGTTACTGGTCATGACTAAATGTCCAGTGGCTTTGAGGTCATCCACACACTTTTATAGTAGACATCACTGAAGTTACTTAAAGGCACAGTCCTGTGTGTGTGTAGACAGAAAAGGGCCTACAACTCTCAGCATGGACTCCTGGCATATGTAGGCCTTTTTTCTTCCTAATTTGCAGTAGGATTGTGCCCTTTATTTAGCCTTCTGCTTTCTCCTGAAATGTTGTGGCTGAATTTTGTTTTAACACTATAGAGCCAACAACTAGTCTTCAGCTCAATAGTAGTGCATCTTGATAGGCATAATCTGCAGATGTGTAAATGAAATCCTTAATCTTGTAAACTTTATTGCTTTAGGAAGGTCCCATGACTGATAAATTCATTTTGTTAATATGGGAATCCAAAGTTTTTATAGCCTCGTATCAAAGATTGTCTTTAGAGAGCATTTCAGAGCAAAGCAGTGCAATGCTTTTAGAAATCTTACTGCAATTCTGAAGACTTATTTTTCTGTTCTTTGTATATTTTGCAGCTGAAAATGTTTGCGAAAACAGTTCATAGGAAAGTTTATAAATATATTGTTCTCAGGCTTGTAAGTAAAATATAGCACTGTATAACATTTGCAGACATTTTACTTTGGTCCTCAAATTTTACTTTAATTGTATGCCTAAGAAAAGTCCTGACATTCCGTAATCAGTATGTAATGCTCAGCTGTTCTTAAGTATTTAATTGTAATATGCATTTTGTTTATGCAGGTGTTTATTCAATATTTTATTCATGTTCTTTACAATGCAGCCACTATAACTTGATAAGACATTGCACTAGTAGTACTATTTAAAATTCTAGTAATATAGTAACCTGTTCAAGAATCTTTCAGTGCGGTTTTGAGAAGATGAAAACTTCTTTCTTCCAAAATTGGATTGAAAAATCAGTGCAGTTTGTGTATTGTAATTGTAATGTATATTTTTAAGCACTATTGTGTTCTGATCCATGAAGTGCATTGTGTGCAGTCTGAATCAAACCTTCAATTCAACAGGTCTGACTGTTGGCTTTATAAAAGGATTTAAAGTGATATTTTGAAAGAAATCTAAGAATTTGCAAATTAGTTTTTATAAATTTTTCACATAGTACTTTTGCACTGTTGTAAATCCCTGTGTTCCTGCCCTAGCTCCCTGTCTGCAATTCTGAAAAAGCTTATTAAAGTATTTTTTTAAATATATTGCTTACATAAATACAACTGTTGAATATTTTAAGAGTGAAGTTTCTGTTTCTTTCAGGGATATCTTAACAAAAATTCTGGAATAATTGGACTACTCAGTAGTAGTTTTAGCAAGACCTTGCACTTGGAATATAAAAATATCACATTTGATATGTAATTGAAGTTTAAACCTGAATTTTGTTCATAAAAATCCAGGTACAGAGAGTAATTGAAACAGCTAGGCTAGGGATAAGGTGAGATTTATCTGAGCTTATTGTGCTAGATCCCTGCTATACCCAAAGAAGATATTTTCAATTTGAAAATAAATGAGAATGCTACCTAGCAAGATTTCTAAATGACAAGAAGGTGACTCAGAAGCTAACTTGTATTAGCAAACAGAGCACATCAGAAGAGACATAAAGTATTTGAGCTGAGAATCTATGTAAGAAAGATTTTTTCCAGTGAGGATATAGGTAACTTCATTTACATAGTAATTTCTAAGCTTACAGAAGAACATAAAGACCAATTAGATGCTGTAATAAGCAAAGTTCAGAAATAGCTATTAGAATGTATAGATAATAGGACTTTTTCAAGTCTTTAGAGAATTGATGTTTTCTAGATTAATTTTAACTAATCAAGTATTACTGTAAAATAGAATCCCCAAGTTTTGAATAAAAATTCAGAGTACTAAAACATGGAAGAAACTAGAAAAGCCTGAATCATGTAGATGTATATCCCACAGAGCTGACAAGATTATTGTAGCAATACTGATCAGAGTTAAGGCTCTACAAAGCTTTAAGCAATGATCAAACAGGACATATAAACAAGATGGAAATTGTTACAGAATTTCACATATTGACCAATTTTCTGCTGGCACAAAGCAAAAACAACCTATGTTTCTGTATTTTGTAGATGTAGAAAAATATATTTTAAAGCATGGAAATTTCATTAAAAATCAAAGGAAATGTGGCTACAAATCATGTATTGGGTAAATAAACAGGCTAATAGGACACCACGTTTTTCTGAGATCCTGATTAACAGCACTTTCTGTCCTGTAGTAGGATTACAGCATGGAGCTAAAGATATTGTTTGTCACAGTTACTCTAATACATATATCAAAATTATGGCATAAAAGAATAGTAAAGTCAGAATTAATGTTAGGGAATGTTAATCTAAAAACTAATTTTTTAATGTACACAGATGATATTGTACTTTCCATTCAATATTCTATGATGGTAGTGATAACCTTTAATGAATTATAAGCATTTAGTAAAATATCTGGTTATAAAGGCACAGGAAAATTAGAAATCTTATCTGTGATCATAGATTAACAGAAGAAGTGGAATCATTAATTGGTTTAATATATCAATCAGATATCTTGGTATATCCCATTCATACATAAAGTTAATAGAAGACAACCATATGCAAGTGTGGGCCGAACTACAGATATTGTGTTTGGGGTGGATAGTCAATCTCCACAAAGTTTCTACCATGTAACAGTACTAGGAAACTGTTAACTGTTTAAAGAGATACTTTAAAGAGACTGTATGTGAGAGAGATGGTGAAAATATGATGTGAGCAGCTTCTGGGCTCTTAGGTTGAAAAAGGCTCCCCAGTTCATTTATCTGCAGACTATAAAAAAGAGAGAGGAAGAGAAACTGTCTCATTTTATTTTTAAGCCAGTACAAAAATACATATGTACATAAAATTCTTTTGGTGCCATCTGACATACAATATATAAAGTCTACATGACATTCAATTAAAATACCTTTACCCTTAATGCTAGAATGCTGACTCTTGTAAATAAATTCTATATAGGAAAAATAAAGATTAATAGCAGAGAAATTAGCTAGTATTTTTATTTGTCTTTCCAGTGTATGTAATCTTCTGGAACTTGACACTAAAAAGATGTGTGTTTTACAAAACGTAAATGTACTCAAAGCTATTTTACATTACAGTAAATCTACCCAGTAGATTAAAAGAAAGTAACATTCCCTCTAATAATACCCTGAGAGCAACTGCCTCAGTACAGCAGGCTAACCAAAATATAGTTATTTGTGAATAATGCCTCAGAGCTACCATCTAAACAAATGCCATGATCTGTAAAAAATGCCATGCAATTATACTTATTTGCACATTAAGTTATTTTGAATGTGTTTTTGCAGAACTCTGGTGCAAGGGCAAAAAGATGAGAAGTGAGAAAGCTTTCATGGCAAATCATTCTACACATGGCTGCTGGAGCCTTAGCTTGTAACAAACATGACCAGTATGATACCATAATACTTCAACTACCATAGGTTAAAGAATACATTGTAAGGGATTTCCCCCCATATAGCAAGTAGACAACCTTGAGATCTGAGGGGTAAATCTGCCCACTAGCCAACCAAGGGCTGCACCCCAAATCCACACCGTGGCAGCCAAGAGGAGGGCCAATAAACATGGGAAAAGGCCAACTGTATTTAAGTGGTGGTGGGAGCCATATGCAGCTTCTAGGAAAGATTTACCTCAATGGTTTTAATTACTTGAAAATGCACTGTGACAACAGAATCTGAAGAGAAAATATACACAGTTTCTTACTCAATTCTTGCATCCTAACTTTAAAAGGGGAGTAAGTGAACATTTTATAGTGCAAAGTTAATTGGATAAAGAGTGAAATGTTTGCATTCAAGATAGAATGCAATTATGTTGGTATGTTATGTTACAATGTAAAAAAAAAACAGTGTAGGCAAGCTAGGAACCCCTAACATGGGAAAAACAAGGAGCAGATCACCAAACTGGGAGCATAGCTTGAAGCTGGCATGTCAGCTGCATCATCTGGTACTACCACTTCCTTCCACAGGGCAGGAAGGGCACATGTTTTCTGATTTATAGTGATGCTTGGAAGTGTTTCAAGGCCAGGAAAAGTCAGAAGCCTTCATCATGGCACCAGAAGCAGACTCTGGGCCATGTTTCAGCAGGCTAATGCAAGGATGGATTGAGGGCCCTTTCCTACCTCTCTCCCCAGTCTTTCAGGGGAAGGGGCCCTCTCGAGTTTCTCTGGGTTCTGGAGTTTGTGGCTCAGCACATACAAGGTGCACTGAGAGCAAAGCATGGGACCTTCTATGGTCCCAGTACCATTCCTCACATAGCAAGAAGAAAAACAAGTATAAAGGGTGGGGGAGCATGGACCTAGTGGCTGTTTCAAAGACAAATGCATGAAGGTTTTCAAGACCAGGTCCTGCTCAGAGCCTTCAGTGCTTAGTTGGATTCAAACTCCTCACAGTGACTATCACCTCAAGCTATTCCCCCTTTCAGGTATCTACAACGCAATCATAAGGGCAGCAGACCAGGAAAAGAGGAAGAAAAATCCTTACAGTGTACCAAAGGGAAGACTTCTTAAACTTACAAATAAGTTTGTTGCAGAGATAATTCCTTTGTTGGATTTCAGTGACAAGGAGGCTGGGAAACCTTTTGAGGAGAACTTGGAGAATGCCACCAAGGTATACTAGTTTCACCTAAGCCCCCCCCCCTTTTCGGCAAAAATAGTTAGGAACCCGCAGCTCACTGAAGAACAACCTGGAGAAAGAAAAAAGGATTCTACCACACAATGAAAAACAGCATTTCCAGACAGGCCATGTAAGCCAATGACAGTGCTTCTTCCAGATTCCTTTGATAGGACTTGGAAGTCTGAACGGGACAAAATCTAAAATAAAGTCAGTATATGAGCTAATAAGTTCTATGTTGTTCTGTCAAAAAGCAATGGACTTGCTGAAATGTATGGGCTTGACAAGCTCATGGCATCCACAGCAGTCCTTCCCTCAGAAAGGTGGGCCTAAGGATCCATGCAAAAAAATGTAGAGACAGCACTTGTTAAAGTTTTGAAGCTTCAGCAACAGCTTTTAGAATAAACTTCAGTTTCTCTAGATTTATCTAGCTCAAGGCAAGTGAACCCAACACCCAAACCACTGCAATGGGCTGAAGAAAATTGCACTTGTGGCAGTTCTTGAGACAAACTCCACTGGTAATACAATTCCACCGAATGTTAGGCCCTTAGCCCTGGCTCACAAGCACACCTGGGTATGTCACTAGGATGGGCCCTGGCTCACAAGTTTGTTCAGCCAGCTCTCCTTTCAAAGGATCTAAGTGTTTGAACAGCCATTAGAGAATGCTTGGGTGGAGACATTGAGGCTTTCCTCATGGCCAACTGTGAGGAATAGAAACTTAAGGCATAATATTCCTTTTGACCCAACCATTACCCAGAATCCATTTGTTGTGATCTGGTTTTACATCAAAATGGAACTGGGGGAGCAAGCCATTCTGTAAGTCTACAACTGCTACCTCACCTTCAGGACACAAGAACTGGAAAAAACTTTAGCCCACCTGGTACCATTCTCACTCTGTGGCAACACTATATTGGGGTGGGGGAGGTATATGTCACTTCATACCTGTTTGGCAGCAGGCTACTTTGAACTGCTGAGTGAAGGACACTACAGCCCAGGGCTGTAATCTAGAGTTTACAATTTATTTATTTATTTAAAACTTTTATATGTCATCCAATACCAGTGTCTCTGGATGGCTTACAAAAAAAAAACCCCAACAACACACAAACCCAAGCTGGGCTGGATAAGGATCTAAGCAGTGAAACATCACGAAATAGACAACAGCCTTGACTAATGTTTCAGGATGTGAGAGGAAGAATCTACTCTGAGCCCTTCTGCACCTTAAGTGCTTGCTTAGGGCACTTACGTTGAACCCATGCTATTTTCGGTGTTTTTCTAAACAGCCTTATTGTACAGCTCTCACAGGTATTCCTTTGGTTGAGTGCTTTCTGTAGTTACTGACCTGAAAACACTGTTCTTAGTACTTCTAGGTAGAGAGTACCTGCTGGACCCTGGAGCCATTTTGGCAGATCCCCCAGCTCTGTGCTTTTCACAGTTGTATTTCAACTGACCCTTCCTTTAAAGTTAATTCACTGATCCATAGGGCTCAGGAGATCCATCTCATTATTTTGCCCTAACACAACTTATGCCAAAGAATGCAACTGACACACTATATCAGTGCATAGGGAAGCTGAACTTAAGGCCTCCCAGTAATTTTTTACAAAGTCTCCAAGTCCTTTTTTTCCCCAGAAAGTGGTGGGACCTTGAGTTACTGTATCTTTAACTGGCCTTCCCTATATCCTACAGCTTTGCTTTAACTTTGTAACTTGTGATGCATGCTTGGAACACTACCTGCTTCCCCATGGTTGCCAGAGTGAACTCAGGGAAGAGCTTTCGGGGCTGTTTCAGGGAACTGGGAAGAAACAAGACTGTTGCTTCTAAGACACATTGTATCCAGCCAGTGCCTCAGCTTCTTCCTTTTCTGTTTCAAAGTACTGCATTCAGACTACCAAATCATCCAACTGAAGCAGTACTTGAGATCTCTGGACCTCTTCTGCCTCCACAGTTCTACCCTTCATAGGATACCTATAAATCCACGGAGTTTAGAGGGTTCATAACATGGTTTATTTGGCCATTGACAGCTCACAAATGAGAAACATGCCTTACAGCCAGGGGTCAAAAAATATTACCAAGACTTTTTTCCAATGTTCATGCTCACGCTGTTAAAACAATTTCCCCTAAATTCAGGGAAACTGTTTGGCAGACTACACTAGGATTGTTTTGTATCATGCTTGAACAAATTAATAGTACCTTTACACAATGGACTGTTGTTAACCTACCATTATATGAACTGTCTCTAAAATTGTTACCAGGTGAATCAATGTTACCAGGTGAACCCCACAAAAAAGGCCTCATGCCAACATCTGTTGTTATTGTTTAACCTGGCTTTAATGACAATATCATGTGTGATCAGGCAGGGAACAGGTAAGTAGAGTGGTAAGGTTTGGATTTACGTGTCTACTTATACTGAATTAGATGTTTTTATATATTGGAACACATCCATGATATAATCTCTAGCTATAAAATTAAATGGAATAAACCTGATCCCTTAAGACAGGGGAGTGTGCAATGAGGCCTGTGAGCCACATGTGCCACGGCCATGTGTCCGGAATGGGGGAAAATCCCTCTTCTTGGCAGTGTATTAAAAAAAATGTTGATATGGCAATGGCAGCAAAAATGGCTAATTTAGAAACAAAATGGTCCTCTTCTATTCTTGCACTTCTGTTTTTCCTTTTTAAAGTGATTCGTGCCCCTGCCCCAAGGCAGGTGGTGACTCAAGTGTGAGCAGGGGTGTGTTTGCCACCAAGGTATGGGGAAAAGGGCAAGGTGCTCCCCAGATCGTAAGGCCTAATCAGAGGCCCAAGTGATGAATGCACTGGTTTTTCTTGAATGCAAAGACTTCTTCTCCACCCAAGATTTTACTCTGAAATTTTAAAAAACTATCCATGGTGTCGAATCCCATGCCCAAAGTAGGTTTGGTCCATAGACAGCTTCTTTAATGTCAATAAAATTAATTAATGCCGTTAATATCATTCAATTAAGCCTCCACTGCTTGAATGGCCCAATAAGTAATCCTGTGTTTAAAATGTTACTAATAACTTTGGAAAGCTGGCTTGTACTGGAAAATGCAAGCTGGCATCACTTCCCACTTCAGGATCTGTACTCAAGGCAGAGTAAACTTATGGAAAGACTGCCTTGGAAAAGCAATCTATTTATTCTTTTAGCTTTGCGCGTAAGAATTGTTGCATTATTTTTAAGCTTCAAGAGCATTGTTTGCCAATAACTGTAGCATTTCTGGGGTTTAACATTTGGGCTTGAAGACTACAGTGCTTTAAAATTTCATGAGACGGAATTCCTCACACAACTTTTGCCCCTTAGAATCTTTACAGGGGTAAGGCATTTGTTAGAACTTGCATGGCAGTCTACTACTGGCTCTTTTGTAAACAATATAATCTTTACTTCACTAAGCCCAAGCTTTTCCTTTGGTCCCATCTGTCTCCTACTTATTTTCTTAGGGGTGTCTTAAACTTGGGGCTTAACTGCTGTCCGGATGTGCTAAGGTTTGGTTTGGGACAAGAGCTCATATAACTGTTTCCACCTTAGCCGTCGCACTATCCTTTTTTTTTTAAACACTTAATTTTGGGTGCTTTCTAAGTATAGCCGTCTGTGGATTTGTGTGTTATTTGGGTGATAAGGAGCAACACTGACAGTACTGGAACTCTCACCCTATGATCAACAGGTGGAAATCTTATTAGAGCACTGTACAGTAGTAGTGATTTTCAAGTAGTAAAACCTCCAATGGCAGAAGCCCTTGATTTTATTTTAGAATAGCTTCTCTTTCCTTTTATTAACCATGCTCTCCCTTTTGCTCTTTCTATATTTTCCTAATTGGTTGATAATTTGCGGTTGTCATGAGCATATGAAAATGGGAAGCAGATGACTTAGAGAAGGCAGTGAGAGTGGTTTTTTTTTTTTTTTGCTTTGTTTCTGGTAATCTAGTGAATGATTCCACATCCCCTAGCCCAGTATAGCATCTTAGATCAAATGTTAAGCTCGGATTTGCAAAGTTTACTGTAATACTGTGCACAGAGAATACTAACATGTGCTTCTCAAGCAGTTAGCACATAGGTCCTACATCGAATATTGTTCATGGAGAGAAGGTTCATTTATCTGGTGAAGTCAAGAGAGACACCAATGAGACTATACTTTTTTCCTGACAGAGTACAGTCCTGTCAAGTGTAAGCAGGACATAGATCTGTATTTTGCATTTCTGTATTTTGCATTTAGCAGGACTGTATTTTGCATTTCACATTCTTCAACTACTCCAATACTTATTCATCTTGAAAATACATGTATGCTTGCAAGCTCCTTGTCTGGGATAGCCACTTAATGCTCTCTGAAGTCATAAGGCCACAACTTCTGAGAAGGTACACACCTAACTACCACTGAAGGTAATGGCACTCAAGTACTTAAATGCATACAGATAAACTATACATATCCATGGAACACAGACAAGCCCCAATTCCATCAGGATTGCATCTTGGGTGACTATAGTTACAAAAAAGGTAGTTGGTGGAATGGCTTTATCTAGAATACACTGACTATCCATCTGCCTCTTTCTCTCACACACACACTCACACAGCGCAATGAGAAATGGAACACAAGCTTATCCTGCACTATAGCTCACCAATACCAGTTTGAGCAACATTTAGGGAAAATGCAGTTAAAACTGGGCTTTTTGGCAAGTGAAAGTCATGAATGTTTGTCAAGTTCTCAGTTAATTCTGAAATATTTAGGACAAATTTTCTTACTGGGCCCAATTCTAGCTTAGCAATGTTCTTGCTATGTTCAAAATTATTAATACTGTAGCATTAGAAGTCTGTTTGCATGGATGATGCAAAGTAATTTTGAAAGTAGTATTCTTTGAAGCCTGTATTTAACCAATGTGCATTTTTATGCAGTCAGTTATAAATATCTAATCTTTTTAAAAGGCAACACCCTTCAGATTGTGCAAATGCAAAGGATTCATATAGCTCCATTCACAGATACTGCATATTCTACTGATCTGTCAGCAATCTTGGCTGCATAACAAAAGTCACTACTGGTAAATAAACATTTTGTCATACAGAACTTTTTCCTTTACTGTCCATCTTGATGCTAGCTTCAGATTGCTTATTCATTTGATCTTCTGTAAAGGTGATGTAAGAATAGACCAGACTTCCAGCGATACTGTAAGACATCAGGTTTTAGATTAAAAATGATTATTTTGAACCAAGTTCTTCTGATTTAAACAAACTAGCCTGAATTTTGCTTTATTCCTGCAAACATTTTAATAAAGCTTGTCTCCATCATGTATTCTACTAAATAGAAAAAAAGAAAATGTCAGTTATTTCCATGTAATTAGGCAATGACCCAAGTAGCTGCTAAATGGTTTCATTAGTGCTGAATTACAGGGAAAGACCATTCTGATAACATGAGACATAGATGGGACAACCTATTGCCTCTCCCCAATCCTAGATTCAGTTCCACATTTCCTCACACTGTGTATAGCTTTCCTTTTGCTTCTGTTACAAAATTCTTGATTTAAATTCTATTCACAATGGCTACCATTGAAAGGTTATCACTACAGCTGTATTTATGGCAGAAAATGCCAAGCTGTTCAGTGAAAGTTAAGGCTACAATTCCACAGACATGGCAATATATGTAGTTTCACTAAGGACTTGAAGTAGGTAAGTTTTGATTATACATTCTACTTAAGGAAGTAAAAATCCATAGCAGAGAAAACAGATACACATGGGAGAGCATGTGCAGGATTGTTATAAGTCAATTAGATCCTTAAGTATTGTCAACTGAGCAGTTAAAATTACCAACTATAGTCGGATGCTTCAGAAAGCCAAGAAGCTGGCAATCTGTCTTCTTTAAACTTTAAAATACTAGTGAAGTGAGAACACCTTGATCCTTAGCCTAGAAAGACAAATGTAGGCTTAACTCACTCCTACTCCCAACCCACACACACTAGGAGGAAGGTGACCATACCATTAACTTGTTACCCAACATAAAAAAATGACTGGTTCTTTTCTAGTCATTAGTTGTACAAGTCTAGTTTTATTTTACCTTCCCCTACACTGAAGTGTAGTGCCCTTTGAACACCATATATAGAGAAGGAAGTTCTGCAAAGTTCAATTAGACTTACTTCCAGGTGAGAATAAAATTGTGGACTTTGTTATAAAGTATAAACTCCTAGCTATTAATTCCTAAACAATCTTAATTTTTCCATTATAACTTTATTGCACTTACCTGATATTTAATCCTACAAAGTTTGTCCATGTGAAAATATAATCTCCTCCAAAGAACATTCCTATGTAGGTTATTAATATATTCTGGAAATTTTAAAAAAATATGTTTTAGACAGAGTATTTACGTAGGACATTTTTCTCCAGGGAGAGGATCTGCTTAATAATTGCTTAATAAATTTTCATAGTAGATTTAAATCCAATGAGATTACAACATTTGACAAAATGTGGATTAAGCCTGTTCAATCCACACACAACCTCCACCACTCTGGTTTGCATGGCAAGGCAACTTTCAACTGGGACTTGCATATACTGAAAAAAGTGATTGGGTCACACTGCATAGCCCCAAGGATGTATTAATCCACAATGGTTTGTCATAACATACAAACTAGTCCAGAGACAGAAACAAGCTGGTTGCTTAAAGACTGGGGTGGGTGACAAGCCACGGTGACAAGCACAGTGTGCCTTGTGATCCTGCACTGCTTCTTGCATGGTGACTTGAGGACAACAAGCCACCCTGACAGTTTTGTTCTTGGCACTGTATCATCTGTTCTTTCCATGCCATCTGAACCCAGGTGACTGACCCCATCATGGGTCACAGAAGGCAGAGCGCGAGCTGCTTGGCATAAACAGTAAAAATACTACTTCCTGCTCCTGATGAGCTTGCCCAAGCCACTGCCAGCTACCCTGCTGTGGAACAACCATCACTGGTTTGGGTTCCCTGGATGTGATGGTGAGCTATTTTACTTGATGCTGCTTCCCTCTATTTTCTTTGATGATAGTCTACAAATTGATAGCTAGTGACAGCTCCTCCAAAGAGCCTAATGAGCACACTGTCACTGTTTTGTTATCCTTTTAAAAAGAATTAAATGAAATAAATTTGTGCATACCCACTTTGGAGGTGCTGGCTCTAGCTGTCAACTCAGAGATTAGGAAAGGCAATCTCTTAAAGGAAAAAAAGAAAAGGGGGGAAAGTCACACTGAGAAAAAAAGGCTCATGAAAGAGAAACAAGGTGGCTTTAGCAGTGAAGTCCCCCAGGACACTAGCTGAAAGATTGAGGGGGAAGGCATAAGGAATGAATGCTTGGTGAGTCCATTTGTCCGTGGGACACATCATGTGAGCAACCAGTGTACCATTAGTTCATTACAGGGTGAGTTAGTGTGACATGAGAACCCACCTGTAAGTATTATCCTTGAAGTACTTGCAATTACTGGGAAAATGCAAGCTGTTTGTTAGCTTTCTGGTGTTTAAACTTAGAGAAACAATGGGAACACAAGTTTATAGAAGGGAGATGCAAGCATACATTAACAGAAGCAAACAAACAGTTTGAGCAGCATACAACTAACAACATCAAGACCAAGAATAAAGCATTTGTAAATATATCAGAAGAAGAAAACCAGCTAGAGAAGCAGTTGGACCACTGGTTGGTAACAGAATTGAACACTAAAGGAGGAAAAGGAGATTGCAGAGAAGCTGAAGGTTTTTTTCCCCATCTGTCTTCACAGAAGGGGATATAGAACATGTCAAGAAGAGAGCCTAAGGAATTATGGCAGATAGTGATAAATGATCAAATTCTCAACTTTATTGAGAAATTATTTTGGTGAAAACCAAAAGGGATAGTGAGGAGCTCCAAAGGTATCTCTCTAAGCTGCAAGAATAGGCAGCAAAATGGCAAATACTGTTCACTGTAAGCAAGTGTAAAGTAATGCATATTGGGGCAACAAATCCCAACAGAAAAGTATAGGCTGATGGGATATGAACTGTATCATGTCTGGCCCAGAAAGGGATCTTGGGGTTATAAACAACTCAATGAAAATGTTGACCCAGTTCACAGTTGCTGTGAAAAAGGCAAACTCCACATTAGGCGTTAGGGAAGGAATCAAAATTAAACCTGCCATAGTTGTACCCCACTTAAACAAATTTTTGGTGCAACTGCACAGAGAATATCATGTATGGTTCTGGTCACTACACCTGAAAAAGAATATTACCAAGTTGGAAAACCTACAGAAAAGAGCATCTAAAATGGTGAAGGGTTGGAGAGATTCCCAGATAAGGATTGGTTACAGCAAGTGAAATAGTTTGGTTTAGAAAAAGTCGAGTAAGGGGAGACATGGTGACAGAGGTGTTCAAAATTATGCATGGTGTGCAGAAAGTGAAGAGGGAAGCTTCTTCTTCCCCTTTCCCATAATACTAGAACCTAAGGTCATCCTATGAGGCTGACTGACTGGAGATTCAGGATGGATAAAAGGAAGCCTTCACACAGCACATAGTTATAACTATGGATTTAACAGCCAAAGGAAGTAGTGATGGCCATCAATCTAAATGACATTAAAAGGGGATTGTACAAATTCAAGGCTATCGATGATTACAAGCCCCCATTATCAGAGGGGGCATGCCTGCATACACCAGTTGCTGAGGAACACGGGCAGGTGAAACTTCTGCACCCAACTTACTTGAGGGATCATGTGAGCTGTTGGTTTAACAATATGTGAATGAGTGCTGGACTGGATGGACCACTGGTCAGATCCACCATGGCCTTTCTTATGCATCCTTCCTTCTCCCCTTCTCAAGCTTAACTTTTCTTGTCAACACTATAGACCAATGCAGAGATGAAAATATGACCTCTCTTCTGCAGATACAAAGGGTTCTAATAAATGCGTAATACTCAACCTACGTTCCATTCATTCTGATGAAATGACTCAAAGTAGGACTGACTTTGAATAGAAGTCAAAGATTTCACTTTAGATCACAGGCTCATCTACATATATGACTCAAGGCAATGGGACAGATTGCAAAATATCCTTTGTTCCACTCTGCCTTTGTTCCCTACAGTGCAGTTCAACACAGGCATTTAAAGAGTATTAAAGACATGTGCTGTGACTGAATTGCACCTGTTTGTCATTGAGAAGTTCTCCCCTGTAGTCCCAGACACACAATTACAATGTGGAGTATCACAATTTTTTCAGAAGTATGTATTTGAAGATCTTACCTTAATGCAACCAACAATTGTAGTTGTAAGGGCAGAGTTATACTGAGTGCAAAGTACTGTTGAATACATCAGAATAAACCTAACAAAGAAAACTCAAAATTTAACAATGAATTTAAAATAGCACATGGGATGGACAGAACACAAAACACTGATTGTGGCACGCAATCTGGCACCTGCTGCTTTCTGAGATTTTTGCAATAGATCACCACCAAATGGACTACATAAATCATCAACTAGCAATCTAGCTGTATTATTTAAGGAGTGTGTATTCACTGGATCATTTAACAGAGGTAAATACATAAGCCTATTTTCCTGTTTTGTAAGTCTAACACACACAATCACAAGAATTCAAATAGAAACAGCATAAAAAAATTAAGATATTTTGTGTTGTCACCTGATCCCAATATGATGGAACCCTGAATCACCACCCTTTGTGAGAACAGCACAGTATCAGCATTCAGAACACTCAGTCCTTGAAATATAGGAGTTATTTTCTCCTATAACAGTTATTCTTTGCTGTTGTTTTTGGTCTGCTCCATCTAATGGCTAAAGAATCTGACATCCTAACCATAAGTTTATTGATAATATAGAAGTGTTTGACACTAAGAAAGCCAAATCTAAAATTCTTACCCCATTACACATGAAAGTGTAAACTGTATAAGGAAGAGGGTGTCTGCCCAGCCTTTATATTCCACTGTCTGGAAACGAAACAAAAGCAGTATCTTAATACGAATAAAAAGTTCAAAGAAAGATTGTCACACCTTATAATCTGGAATCTTCAGACTGACTTCATATTAGCATATGCAAATTATTAGCACATTATAATTGTTGTTTTATCCTTGCAGACATGATACTTCAGGGTGAACAGAAAATGTTCAAGATTGGAGATTCAACCATATCATATTTCAAAATAAAATCTAATGCATAACTCTGGCAAACAAAATGCTTAAATTACATCAGTTTTGTTTACTGATGGGCATCATTATACACACAAGCACAGGCTGTTTCAAACATCTCTACTGAACAACAGTGTAGCTCAACATTTTCAATCTATTTGCTTCAGCTGTAGGTCACTAGGACTGTATCGGTATAGTCAAAGCACAAAAGGGCAGGTGGGAAAAATGTGGAAACACATGCATAAAATATGGGCAAAGTAGTCAAAACAAGTATATTTGATCAAGTGTTTTCTTGACAGTTTGTAAGATGGTCTCCAGTACAGGATATAATACTTATTCCTAGGTTTTTTATTGGCTGCTGTGCTACAACCCAAAGAAATATAGCCACATCATAAAGGAGCCAGCAAATTAGTAAAAATCTCAACAGACTCTTTGAAAGCCCAAGAGTAAATGATCTCTTGAAGCATTATAAACACAATGTAAATATAATAAAGTTTAATATAATTCAATGTAAATTATAAATAAATATAGGGTAGTGTAAACACAATGCACAATAATTTATTTCATTCCACTTCTATGATGCCCCATAACCTAAAGGATCACTTTGACCACATATAAAGAAGAGTTAATTTGTTGCTCTCATGTCTGTTTCTGAACAATAGTTTGACCTTGACGATCTTGGGTGGTGGTCTCGTTAACTGTTTCCTCTTAAAAAGTACATGTTATAAAGAGAAAGTACTCAAGCAACAAATTTTCTGAAAAACTTCCATAACTGATCTATCCTAAACTGAAACTGACTGAGCTGGAGCCAACAATCCATGCACCTGAGCACTTACAGAAGGAAGCCCATCCTGCTGTACACATCATAGCCAAAAAAAGAAAAAAAAGAAGGAACAAGAGAAAACTTGAAGCCAAACAAGGAGATCTTCAACATGGAGAAAGCATTGTCTCTCAGGAGTGTATGTCAATTAGGCTCTGAAACTCTGTTCAATGTATCCTTGCAATGTTACCCAAAATGAACTTTAATTGTAAGCATTGACATGATTATCTACAAGTCATGAATGCTCCCACTAATCTGAAAGTTAATGATGATGTGTAGATATATGCCATCAAAATAGAGGGGAGCTTCTCTCATGTAAAATATTTAATTTTTTGAGTTTCTAAAAACAGTACTTCCTTTTTAAATTCCATTTAAATTTAAATAAATACCCATTCCAAATTTAGCCCAAATCTAGCACTCATATTTATTTATTCATTACATTTGAATGCTGCCTCATAGCCTACAGGGCTCTCTGGGCAGCTTACAATAAGGCCAAAAAAAAAAAAACCACACTTCTTAATTCGGTTTTAAACTTACTGATATACTGGACAATCTCTGAATGGTTTTGCATAAAACAGGCAAACATTTCCGACTCTCAGTCACATAACACTAACAGCAAAAAAAGACTGCCCCCCTCCACAAAAATGTTGAAAGTGGGAGTGATTTTTGTGTATGTGGAGGTACTGTAAGGTCCTATTTATCAACACCACTTCTATATCAACCACAGCCAAAGCTCCTGGACAGTTTACAACAGCACTGGTAGTCCCCAAAATTCCTAGGCTCAGAAATTAATTTTTAAGTGTATAACTTGCACCAAAGTCTTGGAGTTCTAGTAAAAATACAGGTCCCATAAGCTTCAACTTGGCCCGTCCCTGGACTTAAGTCTATTATTAGCAAATGTATGATTTCCCAGCCCTGTGGGTTTTGAGCTTCCAGGATGTTCAACAGAGCAGCTTTTGTTCACCTTTACTGCAAAGAGCTTGTCAGAGGAGAAAAACAAAGTTTACTCAAAAAATTAGCAGCATAAGTTATGTGTGCACATACTGAGTATGAACTCTAGAACCTAGCGCAGTGCTGGTATTCTATTTCTTATTTTGCTGGGGCACATATTTTTAAATATGCAAATTCCTCAGAAAGATAACACTGAAACACTATTTTCTATTTCAAAATGAGGTTTTAAATACAGAATTATCCTCAAAGCTGATTATTTAACTTTGATCTATGCATCTCTTTAATATCCAATGTTAATTCTGTTCACTTACATTAAAACTATTCTGATACAAACATACAGATGCTCATGCTTACCTTTCAAAACTTATCTGAGCAAATTATTCATCAGCAAATTATTAAAAATTCAGTTTGCAAGCATCTTAAAGAAAATGCAGTGATTAATGGATGCCAGCATGGATTTACCAAAAACAAATGTCAGACTAATTTAATCTCATTTTTTGACTAGGCAACATCCCAAACAGGCAGAGGGAACACTGTGGACATAATCTACCTGGACTTCAGCAAAGTTTTCAGCATAGTGCCCCACAACATCATGCTAAGCAAATTAGCAAAAACTGGACTAGATGGAAAATCCTTTAGATGGATCCAAAATTGGCAGCTAAATCAGCCACCAAGAGTGCTCTTCAATGGCAGCTTCTAAAATTGGATGGAGGTCACTAGTGGGTGCCACAGGGTTCAGTCCTGGGCCCAGTGCTCTTCAACATCTTTATTAACAATTCAGAAGTACAAGGAAAGATAACCAAATTTGCAGATGATACAAAACTGGGTGGAATAGCAAACACCCTAGAAGACAGAATGAAGATCCAAGGTGACCTTGGTAAACTGGAACACTGGGCTGAAAGCAACAGAGAGAGATTCAGCAGAGACAAATGTCAAGTCCTCCACCCAGGAAAAAGAAGCCAAATGCATTTATATAAGAAGAGGAATATGTGTCTCAACAGAACTGCAAAAGAAAAAGACCTTTGAGTTACTGAGAACAACAGGCTAAATATAAGCCAACAATGTGATGCAGCTGCAAAAAGGGCCAATGTTATTTTGGGATGCATTAATAGAAGTATTATTTCCAAATAATTAGCATGAGTTCCTGTATACTCCTCACTAGTCAGAGCTCATCTGGAATACTGTGTCGAGTTCTGGGCATCAAGATTTAAGAGAAATGCAGAAAAATGAGAAAGGGTACACCAGAGGGCAAGAAGAGTGAACCAGGGTTTGAAAATACTGTCCAATGAGAAGAGACTGAGAAAACTGGGTATGTTCAGCCTTGAGAAGAGAAGACTAAGGGCAGACATGTTATCACTCTACAAGTACCTCAAAGGCTGACACAAAGAGGAAGGTCAAGATCTTTTCTTGCTGATACCAGACTGTAGGACATGGAATGATCCACTCATGTTGCAACAACCCAGATTCAAGCTAGATATCAGGAAAAGTTTCCTCATTGCAATATGACACTGGAACCAGCTACTTAGAGAGGTTGTGGGCTCGCCCAAACTGGCAATATTCAAGGCAAAACTTTCATCTGAGTGGGATGGTATAAACTGGTATCTTGCAATAGCTGGGGGTTGGACCCAATGGTCTTCTTGCACCTCCCTTCCAACTCTACTATTCTATGATAATATGATTCCATGATCTTTAATATCATGCAATACCATAATCACCTTATCTAAGCAACTGTTGGTCTTGGTTCCTATTTTTTAAAACCTGCCATCCATGCATGCCTATTTTAACACGTCAAAAGAAAAAAAAATCTCATGTAGTATTTACCTGCTAGTTATGCTTTATAGTGTGCCTTTTATCACTGTGGACATTAACACTTTAGCAACAGCCATATCAATATTTCAGCAACATAAAGCTTCTGATACCTGTTCAGGGCCTGTTTCCATTTGCCCTTCACAGTGAAATGAAGAAAGTATATTTGCGAAACACCTCAAGGATAAAATGGTTTACATTTGCCTCAAGTTGCATATGATTAATTTCTGCAGTGAAATTCCAGTTTGTGGCCAAGGTACAGTCTAGTTCTACTTCATGGAGTGAATTTCAACATGTGTAGCCTAAAGAAATAGATAAGTTGTCCAGAGGGATCTGGCCCATCACATCTTTGCTTGACCTTTGCCGATCCTTGGCTTATACTTTCTAGCAGAAAGAGATCAGCTAAGCAGCTGATTGTTATTGTAAGATGATGTAAAACAAACAAAACAAAACAAAAACCACCAACTATCACCACACACCTCCACAGATGAGGTAAGAGGTACACATGTTATAAAAGTTTGAAGCACAGAGACTGACAAGCTGGTGAAAACTGGCTACAGAAAGAGTAAAATGTTCATATATGTGAAATGATATAATTTCCTATATTATCAAGCCATTCCATTAAAAAGTATGTAAATAATTATAAATTTGCAACTGTACTGTATTGTGTTAAATTTAAAGAAAGATTGCATTGTAAGAGAAAGAGCAATATTTCAGTTGCAAAAAATGCAGGACATCAAAAATATCCGGTTTCATCCTACTGATTCTAACATGGTAACTACAGCTGTAACTAAATGTTACAAGCTAACATAAGCTGGTGGTCCCCCCTTGTTGGCAAATCTGTTCACACATATTAATAATTCAGCTAAATTCCCTCATGCCTGGTCTGAGACCATCATAATATCTATTTTTAACAAAGGAGATAGAGAGGATCCATCAAATCACAAGCCCATCAGCTTACTTTTGGTTGTGTGTAAGCTGTATGCTAGTTATTTAAATCAAAGACTGGCCTCTTGGATAGAGGATAAAAACAGCTTAGGAAATGAACAGGCAGGCTTTAGAAAGGGCAGATCAACTATAGATCATAAAATCTATGGCAAATCTAGACAGCATACTAAAAAGCAGAGACATCACTCTGCCAACAAAAATGCGTATAGTCAAGGCTATGGTTTTCCCAGTTGCAATGTATGGCTGTGAAAGCTGCTCCATAAGGAAGGCTGAGTGTTTAAGAATTGAGGCCTTTGAATTGTGGTGCCGGAGGAGACTCCTGCGAGTCCATTGGACTGCAAGGAGATCAAACAAATCAGTCTTAAGAGATCAACCCTGAATGCTCTTTAGAAGGCCAGATACTAAAGATGAAACTCAAATACTCTGGCCACCTAATGAGAAGGAAGGACTCACTGGAGAAGAGCCTAATGCTGGGAATAATTGACAGCAAAAGAAGGGAACGGCAGAGAATGAGGTGGCTAGATGGAGTCACTGAGGCAGTTGGTGTGAGCTCAAGTGGACTCCAGGGGATGGAGGAGGACAGGAAGGCGTGGAGGAGTGTTGTTCATGGGGTCGCAATGGGTCGGACACAACTTCGCAACTAGCACCAACAACAACATCTTGCCGAGCAATACATGCCCTCCTATAGCAATTCTCTTTTTACTGCATTTGTAGACCTAAAATCTACTTTTCAATTTTCTTAGACATAAACTATAGTTGAAGTTGTTCCACACTTCTATAGGTAACAGACTCCTCTATTTTATCGAGTGCCTCTACCAGGATACCATGCTCTGTGTAAGATGCAAGACAGAAGAGAATCTGACAAAATCTACTTCTGCCACTAAGGGCATTCACCAAGGTTCTGTATTAGCCCTCATATTATTCAATCTCTATTTAAATAACCTGATTGATATTATCTTGCACTGCCTTCCATCTTCAGTCTTAGATGAGTGTTATTACATTGTGCCATATGAAAATCAATTGTGCCACTGTTATAATATAGAAATTGAAACTCTGGAGCACATCTTTTTCGTATGCAATTTTTACAGAATATGAGATTCCTTAACCCTGTAATGAGTGATTTTCAGGTAGGACCCCGATTGGTATTTAATCTATTTCCTAGCTGATACAAATAAGTCCAACACAAAATTAGTGTCCAAGGTGGCATGACCTACATATGGGTTAAATTAGGATCTCCCATAGGGTATTCTAGAGTTATCCAAGCATTTAAAATTGACTAATCTATTGTGGCTTAGTGCTATGCATAAATTGGCCTAATGTTCTGATCTGAAAGCTTCCATACTGGAATAAAAAAAGAGTTACCTTTTGTACATCTCCTGTAAAATATGCAATGGCCAAAGTAGGAAGAATCATGAACAGTGCATTGTAATAGAGAAGACCATATTTTCCAAGTTCCTAGGAATGAGGGGAAAAAAACCTTAGAAGTTTATCTTGGCTGAAAGTTAAAGCCATACATAAAGAATCACTTTAAAAAGACCTCATAGTTACCTGCTCCAACCACCGTAATTTTTTCCTGTCTGAATCTTTAGACAAAGAGCAGCTTCATCTTCTCCCCATGGTCCAACCATGATAGTGACAGAAAATGAGTTCCTGCCAGCTATACTTTTCATTTTTGTATTACACTTTAATGCATACTTTAAGCAAACACATATTGGGTGAAAAACTATTAACTGAGATAACTATCAAAGAATTTGTCCTTCATTTCTTCCTCCTGTTTGGCATAAAAAGAGGGAACCAATAAGCCCTGCAGAAGTGCAAAGGTATATGAAATTTACTCTCAACATAACTATGCTGAGAAGAAATAATCTAACAAGCACAAAAATACTTGTTTGTAAAATGTCTGTCACTGGCCTGATGCAGCTCTGCAACACAGAAGCCAGATTTGGGAGTATCTATTGTTTGCCCACAGTCTGTCTCCTCTATGGAACAAACTGTCCCATCAATTTGAAGCCACTAGAACCCTTATTCATGCAGTACCATTGCACAGCCTGGATTAGGAACATGTATTTCCTGGATTAGCTCTTGATTTACTAATCATAGCTAGGAGGCAGTCAATTATCTGTAGTGGACTCTCAAATTTTAAGAGGCTAAAAATTTAAATCCCTTTATCCAACATACAATATATCAAATATATACTTTTATCTCAGTAACAATGAACCAGACTACTGGCATGTTTTCAAACTTCTTTGCAAAAACAAAAATATGAACATTTCATCTTGAAAAATTTGTCATGGTGAGAGTACACAGTGCAGTAATTAATTTTTTGAATATGCTACTTAACTAAAGGAGACAATTGATGGAAATAGTGCTGAAATAGCAATATCTGGGACTGATCCAGCATAATCTTATGGATGTAATTCTAAAATATATCTGCATTTGCATGCTATCTAGTGTACTGGGTGCATTGAAGTTTGCCTTCTAGTGAAAGAAAGTAGTGAAATAGAACAAAATGAGGAAATGAAATTATTTTTACAAAATATGGTCTTAACATTAGTGAACAATGAACACTACTTTTCTAGAAAATAATTTATTCTAATTTGCTCATGCTTTCTTGATTACTTAAGTGGAGGGCTAAATTTAAAATGGTACAATAAGAGGAACCTACCTTTGAATCTAATTTCTGTTTTACATATGCACCATTTGCAGCCGTCAAGACATCATTGATCAAAATGAAAACATAACCTTCTAGGTCAAATGCCAAATCAGAACTAACGGAGAAAAGACAAGATTTTAAAGTTACAAAGAATGCATAACTCGCACAAATACAAAACACATGCTAAGTGCAAGAGACATGGATTCTCTACAAGGTTCTCCGTGTAGACTGAGTCTGGTACACAAGAGGATGCTATGCACTACAAGAACCCTTGCATCCAGTGCTCTATGCACACTACATCAGTGTTGTATAGGTATATCTCATTTTATTAAGCTTCACACTTATTGTGCTTCCTAGACGCAACATGCATGTCTATCCACAACAGATGTCACTGTGTCTCTGCCTTGAATTTTGATAATTCTCAGAATGTATTTCAAACTTTTTCATTATTGTACTGTAATTTATTATGGTTATCTGCGATCTTTGATGTTATTGTGATTTTTGTAATTATTTTGGGGTGCTTTGATGTTTCTCCCTCCCCTGGGGCCTCCCTGTTCACAATACCTATGCCAATTAGACCAACTACTATAATAGCCCTACAGTGGCCCCTTAAGCGGTCATAGGCTGAAAACTGGGTCTCTTGTGCCAAACAGTCAGCCGACAGAATAACTATACGTGAGCCAAGTTATGGCTGTATTCAACTTAGTGTGATGGTCTGGAAATGAGCCCACAATATCTCTGAGGTATGCCTATATAGCAGCACTGATAATCTGCAGAGGATCTTTTGGTGAGGGGAAATGGAGGATGAGGTAAGAAACAGAGGCCCCAGACTGTGGATATTCCTTTATCTTTGACATGATCTTCTCTGACAGCAAAGAGATCACAAATCACACAGGGACCAAAGGAAATTCTATACAAAGCCTCATCATAGTAAGGGAGGCCTATCAGATTAAAAGAAAAACTAGCAGGGTTACCAGTGGATGCCTTCTTTCTAGCATCCCAAACTCCAGTGATTTTCCAGGTACTACAAAACATGAGGTGAAGAACCTCCCACTGAAAAGCACTGAAATTTAAACAACATTCTCACAGAGTATCACCTGAATTTCTACTCGCTTTTCACTAACTAGACAGAAGCTTTATTATAAGCATATACCTGAAGATGTTGCTATAAAAATTTAACAAAATTCAAATATTTTTAAAACAGTGGTAAAACTTACCTTGCTGCTACAAACGCACCAATTATCATTGCGAATACTGTCATCTGAATTCCCCAAGAAAATTTTTTCCTAAAAAGAGAAGAGCTTTGTCAACTACTGCCACTGTATTCAGAAATTCCCAGTATTCTCCTAATTCTTAAAGATCTAATGATCTTTCAGGAGATCATAATAGCATGAGTTCTCTGAAGTGTTTAGTAGAGCTGATAGGTATATGTGGGGTGGAAGAAATGGAGCTAGATGGGAGAAATGTACCCAAGTGTTTCATTTGTTTCTCCTCAGTCATCTGCACATCAACAAAGCAAAGCAGCAGTGAGATAAACTCAAGATGTGATGATGTGGTGAGTGGATTGTACAAGTGCAGCTGCCACATGGAAGTCTTTAACCCTCTTCCTGTGTGAATACTATTATAAGAAATGTCACCATACAAGAAACCCTCTTCTCCGCAATCTCATCTCAAGAGAAAGGAGAAGGTCGCTCATATCCACTGAGCTTTGAGCAAATGGCCTCTCCAGGAGGAAAAGGGATCTCTCACAATAGTAATGCAGCCTGTGCCTTAGTGTAGCATAATAGAAGAATCTTCTCCAACTCTCAACATCCATCATACACAGTGAAGTATGATTCTACCTTCAGAGGTCAAAGCAATATCATCCTTTGCTCACGTGAAACAGAAAAGAGTTAGCATTGCATTTTGGAGCAAAGTTCAGCATGGCATCAGAAATACTCCTCTATATGTTCTCTAACATACAGAGAAAGAGGACTTAAGAAAGGAGAGGAGTCAATTGCCACTACAAAGTATTAGTTACTGGAAAGCCCAATAAAATTTGTGAATCCCTGACCCTAATGTGATACCCTGCCACTTCAATGAAACACAAGGCTATGTCCCATTATGCCTTCAGCTGTCCCTGAGTTGACTGCATGACAAAAGGAAATTAAAGTAGTGCAGGTACAGGCTTCCCCCTTCACATGGCACACACCTGTGGCACCACTTCACAACTCACTTGAGTAAGATTCCTTCTGCAAACATTGTAAACAGAATGGAAAACCGTCTCAGGACTGTAAACATTGGTAAGCTGCAAGAGAAGGAAAGCAATGTTTTGCACAGGGATAAGCTATATCCACTACTCCTAGTTACTCCCATATCTATCTAGAAATTAAGGTAAGTCTAGAAACTAAGCTAAGTGATAAAACACAGGTCTGGCATATGGAAACAATTATTCCTAGAAAAATATAGTGAGCCAAAAAAGATTATTTACATCATTTTATTGAAAAGGTACCAAAAAAAGCCAGCATTCCACCAAGCCTGAGCTTAGCATGTACAACTCCTCAAAACCCAATAATTTTGTCTCTCATATATGAAGCTCAGCTATATATCGGCCACTTTATTTCTGGAAACAGTTTATGGGAAAGTTATTTATGAAAGATCACACATGCTTCTAACTCATTCCCTTGAAATAAGTGAAGTTCTCAAGTTGCAAGGCTCTGTAATTAAGGTTATATTTAACCATCTTCCAAAACTAGTCACTAAAGCTAGTACCTGCCCACATCTTTTAATACACAGGCTCCAAGAGTACTCAGTGATGACATGGTATTTCACTAGATAAAATAGCACAAGAGCTGGTTTTACCAACCATCTATCTTAATGTACTAATAACACATACCATCTTTTATATGTTTGAATTCTATAAGTCTTTCAGGTGATGCTTTTAATGAAAGAAAAAAATCCAATTATGGCGCATTTTCAAGAAGGTTTCATAAATATTTTCTATCAATAGTTTATCACAATTCTCTGCTTTGAGAGATTTATCAGCACCAAGTTTGGAATGCCAAAGAAATCTATATAATGCAGAAAATAAAACTTAGGGGAAACACTATATTATGTTTGCCAGCATGTTTCCATTGGTCTTGTTTAGACACAAAGGCAGCATCTGGAAGCGATCTGTGACTTAATTAATTAACCACAAGTTATGTGTGAAGTCCACCCAATTTTCAGGGACAACCTGTGACTGCAACATCCAAAACTGGGCACTTACTGTTTGTGGGTTAAATAATCACAAGTAAACCCTCAAATAATCCATTGATTAACACAGGGTTGTTTAATCCACAATCAGCCCAGGTGCTCACCTTCAAATATCATGGAAACTAGAAACTGCTCATGTACAAAATGTACCCTTGTAATTCATGATTTTATTAACCTACATATTGTTTCTGGACACCACCATTACATCCAAATAAGATCATGATACGTGACCATGTACTGCAACAAGGAGATTTAAACTCTGTAGCCATAATATTATTAACCCAACCTTCTATTTATATGTAAAGAAACTGGTTTGGAACATTTGCACTCTCCCTTGAAGAATCAAGGTTCATAACTTAGAGTATTCTCGATTCAACTTTTCTAGAAATTCAGGTAGAAGTGATGCTCAGGAGTACCTGTGCCTGGTGAAGGATTGTGCACCAGCTGTACCCACTTCTAGAGAAGGTGGATCCAGTAAAGTCCTGCACAACTTAAAGCACAATTTTATGCAACCCTAAACATTAGACTGTTCCTTAAATCAGTCTAAATTGTTCCAACACCTAACTTAGCTAAGTTAGATTACTTCAACAAATTGGGGCTAACAGTGTTTGAAGAGTGTCCAGAAACTTCAGATGTATCCTGAAGGATTTTAAGTGGACCAGGTTATCGCAACCTTCTAATGCTTTCATTATGCCATGTTCACTGCCTACCAATCTCTTTCTAATTTAGATTTAAAGTACTGATTATTATCTTTAAAAGGTTAAAGGATTACACTCAAAGAATATGGACAGAATTATGCATTAACTAGATTTTTATTTTGTTTAAGGCTTGGTCATCAGGGGACTATTAGAGAGCATTTAAAGGATACAATCCTATACCAGTAATTAGAATAGGAGCATAATGTCAAAAAAAAATTGCTCTTCGCAAGCAAGCTAAAAATGCAATCATACTACTAGGTAACCCTGCCCTTTACTATCCCACAAGCAATTGTTGTAGGAGCTAGACAATTTTCATTCACTGCATTTGAAACAATCCAATGCATTATTTTAGATATACTTAAATTCAGATATTTTACTTTTAACAAATGCTCAATAAAATTGTAATGTCATGAATATACAAAAGTTATCCATACTTAAGTTTCTTTGTGCTGAACAGTCCTGTGATTTGGTTTCCAAAATAGAGAAGAGGTAGAGGAAATGTCTAGAAAATTACAAATGGGGAAAATGCTCAGTATACAGGTAAAATCAGCTAGCATCCAACCATTCAAAACAAGTTCATGGTTTTGCAATTGGAGCACTTTTTGCCAGCCACACGACATAGCAAACCTTAGGAAATGCACAATAATACTTCAACTGTGACATAACAGTCTTAGCATAAAAGATCAGTGTGGTTTTGCTACCAGATTTTACAACCAACGCACACACATCCTTTTCTCAATACTGCATTAAGTTTGGGAAACTAAAACGGTGCATTTTCTGTCACATCAAAGACATTCCATTTTCAAAGTTACATTGTGACAATGGGCATACAATGTTTCATGCATAAGAAAAGCTTTATAACATGGTACTTCACATGGCTAACCGGCCCACCATGTTTGTTTGTTTAAAACATTTGTATGCCGCTCAGTTGTGCCACAGCACCTCTGGGCGGCTCACAACACAAGATAAAAATACAATTTAAAATCTTGGGCATTAGAAAACAATTTGGGAAAACTACTCAAATAAGAAGATAAATATTAAGATGAGCACATTAGCCAAATATATCAATGTTTATTTAGAAGTACGTGTCATTCATTTAAATGATATGCTCATATATGTGTGAAGGACTGCATCATGAAGCAATGTGAATGGAAGGAAAATATTTTCAAATTCAGTAGAAAATATTTCTGTGGGCCAAACTATTACATTATATGTTCAAACCTATTTAAAACTAGCAGTTGTGTGGTAAGCTGATCATGGTACACAGGACAGGAAAGCTTTGCACCAATGGCAGCTTCCCTCCTGGAGGATATGGCAGCTTGTGAGGAAGATTGGCAGGGAATCGTGGCAGCTCCCCCGCAGAGCTGCCTCAACTGTGTTCAAAGCTTAAAAACAGCCTTGGGTGTATGTGTGATCACACATTTAACATAATGTGCAAGTAAGCCTTTACAAATCTAAATAAACCCACTTCTAACAGTTCATATTAAGTAAACACACTAACCCTGACCTGTAAAGGCTGTAGAGGTACATTATTAGGATATTTGCATGAAACCTATGTGGTTTACTATGGCATGAGCTTTTCACTAGACTCAGTTTTCAACAGACTCACAGTTACTCCTTTAGAATTTTTACTTATCAGAGCAATAGCATAGTCAAGAGCAGATTGGAATCTCTTGACATTAAGAGCACCAGGGGAGGGGGGACATACTTAAATATTAAGCAAATATTTAAACATATTTAAACATAATTCAGCCTTCTCCAAGTTGGTGCCCTTCAGATGTGACTACATCTCCCACCATTCTTATTGGCTGGGGATGCTGGGAGTTGTAGTCCAACACAGCTGGAGCACAGGTTAGGAAAGCCTACTTTAATTTAGCTAAAACAGCAAATCATAATCATATCAATGCATTTCTTGAAAGTTTTCTTGTGTTTTTCTGCAAAATATGTAATATATATTCTCTTTCCTAACCATAAGCTGATGTAATAAAGGCTATGTTTCTATTCAGATTTACTGGTGATTTATAAACAGTGGGGTGAGAGAAAAAAGATACCTTTTTTACATACCTTTCGAGGTATATTTCGGTCAAAGTCTGGAAACTTCACCACCCTGAGTGCCTTTCCCACCCAGAGGACAACTACTGTAGCCAACATCTGTGAAAGGCGCAGGAGAAGTATGACTGTTTTATCTATGCTCTCCCTGCCCTGCTAGAAATGTTCATAATCAAAATTCCAACTAACCTGACCCAGTCCCACACACAGCGAGGAAGGAAATCTACAACAAATGGCAAAGACTGTTAATTTATATTATTTTAATTGAAGTTATTTATGTTGTGAGTCGCCTCGAGGCTTCAGCGAATGGGGCAGCATAGAAATTTTCTAAATAAATAAATTAATTAATTAAACCAAATAACACAGACCCTGGGCAAGTCATGCATAATGCAATCAGCCTAGGAAGCAACAGGAAAATGGTTTATGGCTCATTTTTTGGCCACTGTTAAAACAATTCTTTTCCCAAAATGGGAAAAAATAAATAAAAACCTGATGTGTGTTTTTTTCCTAATTTCCCACTGGAAACCAATGCCCATTCACAGTCCTAACATGACCAGGTGTATTTGCATAACTGCTCAATGGTATCAGTTACTTCTTACCTATTCAAGATGTACATATCTATTCAAGAAGTATACATACATACAACGAATATTCAACATGGAGGGAAAGCATGGGATATCTGTGGAAGTAATTCAAAAATACTGTAGGGAAGACTCGGTAAAGAGTTTCCTTTAGGGTTTCAGAAAATTACAACATCAGGATGGCAGTTGAAGCCGAAAAGCAGAAATGTGTGTGCTGAGTAAACCCAGTACAGCTGTGGTGGTGCTGTGTACAACACAGACTCACCCCAAATTCTACGGCACTGAACTATCTTGGGAGTAAAACACGAGGCATCTAGCAACTTCTGAAGAAGCGAGCTACAAGTGGTCTCATAAACGTATCGGCGGGCGAGAAGGATGCCCAATAAATCTGGTCTCTAGCTCGTCGAACTAAGTAGGGAGAGAAGCGGAGCTACGAAGGCAACCTTGCCCCGTTATTTAATATGGAGGCTTCTTCCCAAGCGTCATCAAGAGAGTGGAAGGTCTGCAGAATCCCCGAGGGCTAGCGGCATTAAGCAGTAGCGACCGCAGCCCTGCAAGAGGGAGAGACGCCACCAGTTTCCCCGGCCTGCCTGCCCCCCCGCACGAGTTAATCAGCAACCCAGTTACGCTGCCCTCTAAATTTTCCCCTGGCGCCGGCGACAGCGAACTTTGCCCGCCCGCCTGCCTGCCTTACCCATAGCTAGTCAGCACGCTCTTGTTCACCACCACGATAAAGAAAGAGCTAAAGCCATAGAACGCAGCCGCCAGCAGCTTGAGGCAGACAGTGAGGCTCGGGGTCGCCGCCATGCCCGGCTCCTCATCTCCGCGAGCTGGAAGTGCTGCTGCTACTGTGGCTGTTCTGCCTGCGGTGGGAGTTTCTCCTTTCACGCCAGCACGTCTGCGCGCGGCTGCCGACATATTTGCAAGCGGAACGTCAGAAAAGGCGGAGCTGAGCGCGCCCGGCCTGCAGCCAGCAGGGGCTGGGCCAAGGGAGGAAACGTGGAGAACAAGCACCTCCCAAAGAGAAAAACAGGGTGGGGCGCTTTCCTGCCAGTTAGTCGGGTGGTGGGTCCTCTGTGTGTTGCAAGTGAAGATACGTGGCGTTGCAGTAGCGTTCCATGCCTCCCAACTTGGTAACCTGCGGATGGGTTCGACTATAGGTCCTATCATTCATGGCCAGCGGCGGGATGAAGGCTGACGCAGCGGAGCTCACTTTCCAAGGAGACTGCAGCCAAGCCACGCAGAGAAACTGCTGCGCCATGCATGCATTTGGAAAGCGCGGCGGAAGGCTATAGCGCTTCTATGAGCAAAACGCATGTGACCTAAACGTGTAACCTGCAGCTATAGGTTTCCGGGTTAGTTGGAGAAGGGGCGGATATTAGCGCGCGGAGGGGCTGCTTATAGTAACTTTTTTTTTCCCGGACCGCTGCCGTACAACTTATCTCCTGTGCACTCAATCTAGTAAAGGAGTGAGAATCTTCCTTGGGCTTCCAAATGAAGGAAGAAACTCAGTGATTGAGGAACAGTGAGGCAAACAACCAAGCCATGAGTCTTGTCTGAAGGAATGTGGAGGAGAGAAAAAGATATTTGGCTTGCAAGAAAGTGTGCTACTTCCTATCTCATCCTCCCAGTAGTTTTATGAGACAAGGGGGTCGTAGGGCAAGGTGAAATGAGAGAGGAGCAAACTAGTGAACTTGCAGTTATAAGCATGCAGGCGTAATAGGTTGATGAATATTAACTCACACCTTGAATAGGCAATTGACTAATTATAATGCACATGTGATGTATGTAGATGTTGTTGGGAAAATTTGGATAAATCCTGTCTGAAAAGCATTACTTCTGTGTGCTTTTGCATTGTGGGATCAAATCCTGTACTCCTCCTCAAAATCAAGCTAAGTCACTGTTTAAAATGGCATTGGAATTCAGTTTACCAGGAAGTATCTTCCTACTGCAGAGGGCTTCATGTGCCCTGGTCATTCAGAATGTCTAGAGTCTAGATAAGGGTCTGAACTTATGAATAGTTTCTCAGTAGCTTGAATTTACATGTCTAAGCAGACCTGGAGATGGGTTCAAGCTACTGAACTAAAATGTCAATACACTGCAATTAGAAATACTGTAATCTCATTGTCTCTGTATGATTGACTGACATTCCTTTATCTGTTCTGTATGTGATGACCCCAGAATCTTACTGTAATGTCTGCATTCTGTCATCAATTGCCCTGTACCTGTGTACCTATAAAATACCCTGCAATGGTATTGAAGCTTTGCAGCAGAGTTTACCTCTGCTTGCACGGTAATGCATTATCGTGAGTACGGACCCACGGGGAACCTGGGTTATGCAATAAAGCCAAGATAGTCTGGACGCATGATCTTTCTCACGAACCCAAGTTTTATTTCCTCTTCTCAAATTGAGATTCCGGGATTCTGACAATGTATGTAGTGGGATGAGATGGGAGCTATGAAGTAGGCGGACGGAAAGACTAACCTCCTAGTACCTTACCCAATGAGGGAAAGGGGGAGGACTGGTGGACGGGTTGAGCGTTAAAAGGGGATGTTTCATGTGTTTGTACTTTGGAGAGATTCTGATAGAGCGGGCTTGTCCCATCTGTTACAATAAACGAAGGATCGCCTCACTCTGATGGTAGTCTTGGTTATTTAACTTGAGGAGAAGTATTTTTTGCAGTTTTTTTGCATAACACAAAGTACCCATTGCATTGAGCACGCTTTTAGAAAAACTGGAAAATACCAGGTCATCAGCTACTGCGATTAAAATGGTCACCTTGTGTCAGAGACAGGAAGGGCGGTTGGGAACGCACCAAGAGTCCCACTGTCAAACAGTAACCTCCTTGAAAGTGGGGCCATGAGGGAGAGGTGTGCAAGCAAGCGTGGGTAGCTGTTGCCGCTGCTCTCCCAATCTTGCTCACCATTTCTGGGCAAGCCACCTGGTGAAGGAGCGTGTAACAGTAAGAGATTGTGGTTTTCCAAGGATCATTCCCTGCCTCCTTTTGCTTGTTTGAGTTTGAAATAGCATTTACCTCTTTTGGCCCACTGACTTTAGGGCCAGGAGATACACTTTTTCTCTTATGCAGCTATTGAAAAACTTTTTGTGGCTTTACAGTCCACAGCAAATAAAGGATGTGAAAGGATCAGCACTTTGCAATGTGTCTTCTACACAGTTGCTTGGGCATTAACAGCAAAATGATGTATGAATCGTGTGTGTGTGTGTGTGTGTGTGTTTGTCTATATATACAGTATATAAATGTGTATGTGTACACACAGTTCATAGGATTGCAGTTTAAAGTATAGTATACAGTTCTAAATTTAGTAATGTAAATAGAACTGTATTTAGGAAGTTAATTCATATGGAGTTTATTTATTTATTTAGAAAGCTGCTATGCCGCCCCATTCGCCGGAGCCTCAGGGCGGCTTACAACAATAAATAAATAATAACAATATAAAACAATATAATATAATTGGAGACGTCCTGGCCATGAAGTTGTTCACATAGGCACTTTCTTTCATGCATAAGCAGTCAAGGCCACACAGGTGACTGTGGTGATGTGGCTAGCATGAACACCTTAGGGCAGTCACTAGTACCTATGCTGCATGTTTTCTCATGTGAGCTGCATTCGGAAGATGGCTCAGGACTTCCTACATTGTCTGAGCTACCCCTGAAGGAACAAAAACTCATGTTCCATTACAGCTCATCCTGTTGTTGCTCAGCATCAATGCAGACTCACATGAAGAAGGCTGCATGTTGATCAGATGTACAGACATGCCACTGGGGGGAACTACTAGCACTGGAAGAATAGGGTAAATTTAAAATTATGCACATAGAGATTTTGGTAGGATAATTAATGAGACCATTAATTAATTTTCCTTCCCTAGTGCTAAGGAAACCTCAATTGCTCATACAATTATTGTGGTAAAAAATAAATATAACTAAATGGTAACACTACATAATGATAACAAATAGAAAAGGCAGCAAATACAGTGGACCAAACAACATCAACCACTGGCTAAATGAAAAGGTTTCCTCTGGCCCTGACAAAACTCCGTGCTGATAGTGGTTGCACCTCCATGAAGAGGTTATTATATGATCAGGGTGTCAAAAGCAAAGAGGCTTCTGCCTTGTTGAAGTAGGGGAAAAATCCCCAGGGGTTGTTCAAGTTACAGGCAGGCTGCTATAGAAAGAGGAGTTCTTGCAGATATTTCATCCCAAGTGTTTGAGTGCAATCCTGTGTTCCCTAGGAGAGTGTTCTAGGGGTTATAATCTGACTCAGAAAACCCCTTTGGAATTGGAGATAGTTCTCCAACCTTGGATGGGGGAGCTGGAGACCAGACTCCCTTCCTGCTAGCACAGGGAGCAATTGCACCACCTGTTTCTTCCAACCCTGGAAGAGGAGGAAAAAATCGGATGTTTCAGGGGAAGGGGAGAGGAAGATAAGAGCCTTCTTTCTGAGCTGCCTTCCTTCCCTGACTCCAACCACCCATGATAGATAGGCTTTGTACCCCATCTTACGAAAATCAGGAAAGATGGAGGACAGGGAGGTAGGGATTTCCCTTACTACTCCTCAAGCTCAGCCAGTTTCATCCCAGCAGGGCAAAGGAAGCTTTGGCACCTCTGAGTTCAGAGGCTTCCAAATGGTTAGGTTGCCACCACTGCATTCTTAGGGCTTTACAGTTAAGCATCGACAACTTGAATTGGACTCTGACTTGGACACCTTGAATTTGATTCATGGCTCTTCATTCTACACTAGCTGAAGCTTCAAAGTCATCCTCAGGTATAGCCCCATACACTATGTGCAACAGCAATCGAGTCAGGCTACCAGAATATGAGCTACTCTGGTCAGACAATTTTCCTCCAGGAATGGCCATAATCAAGGAATCAGCTGAAGCAGGTAAAAGGCGTTTTAGCCATAGAGTTCAAGTAGCAATGCTGGATCAAGAAAAGCCTCCAAGCTGTATACCTGCATTTTCAAGGGAAAGCCTATTGCGGCAAGGCTAATGCAATCAGGGCTACAAAGACCTGTCTAAGTAGTATGTGTTATGGATTATAGTCCAAAATATATGTATGTTTCAGCTATTGTTCCAGCTCTAGTATGATTGAGGGAGGGGGTTCAAAAGGGCTATACTGTACTGCTATAAATTTTGGTTGCTGTTTGCATCTTTGCAGCAAAGTGTGGGGAACTTTTAATGAAATCAATGTATTTATCTATATAGGGATTTACATCCTGTCATGTTGCCGATATCTCAGGGTGATATGAAATAATAAGAAGAAAACACTAATAACAAAGACTCTTAACAGCAATTAATTGCCATTAAAAGTAGTCTTCACCTGCCAAAACTCAGCCGTGGAGAAAATCCTGAAGGTGTTAACAAATGGAGGTTCACATAGGAAGAAAAATCTCATCAACAGGATATGAAGTTAATTAGTGTTTTAAAGAACTAGACCTTGAATTGACCCCGGAACCATAATGGTACACAAAAGGAGTTCTTTCAATACTGGCATAATATCAACAGTGCAGCAATGGATCTTTGGTGAACTCATTACAAGTCTCAGTTTCACATTTGAAAGTGAAAACAGCACAGAAATGCCAATGCAAAATCACATTTTGTAATGTTACAGTGAAACAGCAGGGGTTACCCAACATCTTCAGAACCATTTATTGCTTCAGCATGTTTTTATACAGTGCCTGAAAATGAATGCATTGCTAATTTTTAAAAACCATGTATTAATGGTTTAACAAGGTATCTTCCTTAGTGGGAACAATTATTCTGGACTACATCATAGCAGCAAATACAGATAAAGTAGTTCTACACATGTATTGGTGATAAAAGTATTTATCACTAATACATTTTAGCAGTTGGCACCACTCTTTTTGTATTATTACCTCTACTTCCTTCAATATCACTAGGCTTCTGCCTGC